TTAACCATCATCATCATCACTACCATCACCACCACCATCACTACCATCACTAGCATCACAATCATCACCATCATCACTACCATCACAATCATCATCATCATCACTACCATCACCACCACCATCACCACCATCACCACCATCACTATATCATCACTACCATCACTACCATCACAATCATCACCACCACCATCACCACCATCACTATATCATCACTACCATCACTACCATCACAATCATCACCACCATCATCTTCACCATCACTATATCATCACTACCATCACCATCATCACCCCCATGCAATGCAGGTCGCCAAGGATCTGTACTACGATATGGTGCTGGGTCGCGAGTTCGAGGAGATGTGCGCGCAGATGTACTACCGGGGCAAGATGTTTGGATTCGTACACTTGTACAGCGGCCAGGTGGGTGGGGGGAGGGGGAGGGCATGGGGGCCCCTCTGCCGGGGTCACTAACGTCAGAGCAAATCGAGCAGCAGCGGTCTGGGTGTGTGACTGTGTGTATGTGTGTGACTGTGTGTATGTGTGTGACTGTGTGTGTGTGTGTGTGTGTGTGTGTGTGGCGGGTGTGTGTGGCGGGTGTGTGGCGTCGCCCGGGGGCTGTTAGGTCGGTCTTTTTAAAGCTGCGGGCTGTTGAGAGAAAGATGGCTGTGTGAGTGTCTGTGTGAGTGTCTGTATGTGTGTCTGTATGTGTGTCTGTAAGCGTGTGCGGAGGGCGGGGGAAGGCACTGCAGCCTGGTGCAATCGACACAGAACCATCCGTCGACTGCCCGAGGGTGCTTTCTGGGGTGTGTGTGTGGGGTGTGTGTGTGCGCCGTTGGGGTTCTCATCTCTTCAAAACGAGCTTTTGGGGGGTTGGGTTGGGTTGGGTTTGCTGGGGAAAAATGGATCGTTTTAGTTGGGTTTGGGTTTGGCACGGTACGGTTAGGTTAGGGTGGTTGTGCGTGTGGTGGTCGCAATGGGAGCGTGCGGCCCGGGGAAGGGATGTTCCCCCCTCGTGTGCGTCAGGACGGGTGCAACAGCTGCCGTGTACGAACGTTGCGCGTTGCGGAAGAATGAATGAGATGTGTATGCATCCATGCATACATACATATATACATACATATGGCAGTCTGAGTCGGGGTCGGGAGCACACAAGACTAACCGACTTGTGCTGTGTGCTCCCGACCCTTGCGCTGTGTTTCGGCTTCGGCCCCCGGCTCTCGCGGCCCACAGTGTAATTTTAGTCATACATACATACATATATACCCTTTTTGTCCCTCTCCCGGATGTGTTCGTCAAACCCCTCCCTCCCCCACCGACGTAACATAACTACCTCTCCCCGTCCCTCTCCCTGTCCCCCACATACATACGCACATACATACACGCATACACACACGTGCAGGAGGCCGTATCCTCCGGGGTAATCCGTCTATTGCGTCCGGACGACCACGTTGTGTCCACCTACCGCGATCACGTCCATGCGCTGTCCAAGGGGGTGTCGGCCCGGGAGGTGATGGCGGAGCTTTTCGGGAAGAAGACCGGGTGCTGCAGGTGAGCGACCTGAGGGGGTGGAGACGGGCGGGGAGGTACGGCTTTTGGGGTGAGGAGGAGAGGCGAGGTGAGAGATTTAGGGGGATGGCAGGGGGGGATGATGTGAGGTGTTGAGGTTTGATGAGGGCTCTCGTGTGTGTGGGGGGGATTTCGGTCGCTGCGAAACCTCCTATCTGTATGTATGTATGTTTGTCTGATGGGTTTAAAGTGCAGTCGGGCGGTGGCTCTAACCCCCCCCCCCCCACCACCACACCACTCCGGAGGTCTCTTTGTACGTGTGTACGCCGTTCTTCCTTCTTGCAATATCCTCCTTTTCCACAGCCTTCTTCAACCACCAGAAAAGCAGCAGTAGGTTGTGAGGGTGTTACATACGTCTGCACCTCTCTCTTCCCCCCCATTTCCCTCCCTGCCTCTCCCGTTCCCCCTCCCCCCCTTCGTGCAACTTGACTCCCAGTTTCATTGGCGTCGTTCATGAGTCCCCTCTGAACCCCCCGTCCAAACCGCCCTCTTCCCCCTTTTCCCCCCTGGCCCCCCCCTCATTAGGGGCCAGGGCGGCAGCATGCACATGTTCAGTTCGAAACACAACGTGCTGGGGGGTTACGCGTTCATCGGGGAGGGCATTCCGGTGGGTCTCGGAGCCGCTTTCCAGTCCAAGTACAGGTACGGAGGAGTACGGAGTGAATGGAATGGTTGGGTTCAGAAATCCCGATTGTTTGCATGGAGGCATTGGGTTGGGTTGTGCGGTTAGGTGTCGGGAGAGTTCTGTATGTAGACTCATCACTCGCTCGCACACTCGTTCGCACACGCACGCACTCGCTCGCACACGCACTCGCTCGCACACGCACGCACTCGCTCGCACACGCACTCGCTCGCACACGCACTCGCTCGCACACGCACTCGCTCGCACACGCACGCACTCGCTCGCACACTCGCGCGCACTCGCGCGCACACTCGCGCGCACTCGCTCGCACACTCGCGCGCACTCGCGCACTCGCTCGCACACTCGGCCTGGTCCTCACGCGTACACTCGCACGGGCGCACACGCGCACACTGCACCCAGGCGTGACGTGCTGGGAGACGAGAGCGCCGACAGCGTCACGTGTTCCTTCTTCGGCGATGGCACTTGCAACGTGGGGCAGTTCTACGAGTCACTCAACATGGCGGCCTTGTACAAGCTGCCGCACATTTTCGTGGTGGAGAACAACCTGTGAGTACGACGGGGGGCAGGGGGAGTACGACACAGGGAAGGGGGAGTACGACAGGGGCCTTGCCTGCCGTTCTGGATTGTTATTACAGCCGAGGGCTTGGATCTTCTGTTTGGCTCAGTATCCCCACAACCAACTAAACCACCAACCAACCAATGGCAGTTTGCCCTACCGGCACACCCTTCTGCTGCGTATGTATGTGTGTATAAGCATGTGTATGTATGTATGTATGCATGTGTGTATGTATGTATGTATGTATGCATGTATGTATGTATGTATGTATGCATGAAAGGTATAAATTGGCTGATGGGCACCTTCTCTTCGCAGGTGGGCTATCGGTATGAGCCACCTGCGCGCCACCAGCCGTACATCGGGTGACGAGCATCCGTATATTTACAAGAAGGGCCCCGCATTCGGAATGCCAGGCGTGCTGGTGGACGGTATGGACGTGCTAAAGGTACGGTTGCTGCATGTATGCCGTACTGATCCCCTTTTTCCCTTCAGTTGACGGTAATCTAACCCACGAACCTCAACGAACGAAATGCCGCATTCAATAAGCCGCAAGAGGAGGAGGGGGAGGGGCAGATACGGATAGATGCAGAGAGCCTTGGGAGTGGAGGGGAGTGGGTGTGGGTGTGAAGTGGGCTGTGGGTTTTGGGGAAGTGAGGGAAGTGGGGTTTTGGGGGTTTACAAGTGGCGGCCTGACCACATGGCGATGTGGTGACGGAGCCGATGTGGTGGCGATGTGGCGACGGAGTCCTCAGATCAGCACCCGCACCTTCCCATTCATTTCCGGTTGTGAAGCTGCGCCGCGCCGTCTGCATTTTCATTTCTCCTGCCTGCTCTACCCTGCACTTACCCTCCTACACAGCTACCGTACCCTACCTACACAGCTTTGAAAGTCGGCACAGTTTTGCTTCCTTGATGGCAAGATTGTTTCCTTGACAAGAATGCAACATCATCAAAATGTATCGTATTTCCCCAACTACCAACTACCTCACCCCTAGTCCCTCCCGTATCGTACACCCCAGCACCTGTATGCTCTCTTGCTCGTCTGTCTGTGCCCTTCCCCTCGCGTCTTCCCCCTCACCCCCCTCACCCCCCCCTCACCCCCTCACCACCGAAACACACACACACACACGCACACGCACGCACACGCACGCACGCGCACAGGTTCGCCAGGTGGCTCAGGAGGCGGTGGAGCGAGCTCGTCGCGGCGAGGGGCCCACGCTGATCGAGGCGGAGACCTACCGCTTCCGCGGCCACTCCCTTGCCGACCCGGATGAGCTCCGCAGCAAGGACGAGAAGGCCAAGTACCTGGCCAGGGACCCCATCCCGCAGCTGAAGAAGTACATGCTGGAACACGTGGGTGTTTTGGGCGGGGGGGGGGGAATAAAAGAGGGCCCGCCTTGAAGTGGTACGTGTATATGTATGTATGTATGTATGTGCAACTGTGCGGGCATGGTTCTACGAAGCAATATATGGTAGATGGTTTTCGGATGCATGTCGGGGATGCAGATAGCGTAAGGTTTCCAAACTCTTCACTCGTGTAAGTATCTTACAAACTACACGCGTATAATCTGTGTCGTACTCTCAGGGCTTGGCGACCGAGGCGGATATCAAGGCGCTGGAGGACAAGGTGGCTGAGGTGGTGGAGGACTGTGTCAAGTGGGTGCTTGTTGGTGTACGCGTGCTGTATGTCGTGTGTTTTGTATGTCTGTTTGTAGATGCGAGTGATAGGGAATACGGCAGGGGTGTGATCGTGTCGTACTCGTGGGTGGCGGGGTCACCATGGCTGGGTTAGGTTGTGGGGTGTGGTGGAGTAGAGGGGGGCGGGAAGTGGGTTTGCGATGGTCAGGTTGGAATTCTTAAGGTTGCGGCAGCGCTAAGAGGTGAGTTCCAAACGCCTGATCAGGCAATCTTGCATAGGTCCTTATCAAGCTTTAATTTTTAAGGGTTTATACCCGGGTGCACCGCGGCTATTATTATTTCATTTTTTTATTAAATGAAGTAATGTAATACAGAGTATTACGATGTTACTGCATTTAATATCCATCCATGCATTGTTTCATTTCGTTGCTTAAATCTTTTCTTCGCGGATCCGCATTCAGGTTCGCCGACGAGTCCCCCAAGCCGGAGCGGGGGCAGCTGTTGGAGAACGTGTTCGCCGACCCGCGTGGTTTCGGAATCGCGGAGGACGGCCGCTACCGCTACCAGCAGGCGGGTTTCAGCTCCGGGACCGCAGTCGTCTCGTAAGAAAAGAAAAGACCACCGCATGGCAGTCCCTTCTCCTCCTCCTCCCCCTCCCCAACCCCCTCCCCCCGCCCTCCACTCCCCTCTGGACGAAACAGCCCTCCAATTGGTTTCCTTTGGCACTGAATCGGCGGTAGCAATATAGCAGTAGCGGTAGCAGTATCTGGCGATATTAAAGATATGGCGGCCGTTTTCTGGCTCCACCGCCAGGCCTAGCAGTAGCAGCAACAGCAACAGCCGTCTGGTTCCAAGCAGCTGTTCGTCGTTGAGAGGGGCCCCGGCGCCGAGGGCAGTCTTGTGCAGCTTGCGTGGCTGCCGCATGTTGTCGCCTGCTGTGCTACTGCTGCTACTGCTGCTGCTACTGCTGTTGCTACTATTGCCTCTGCTACTGCTGCTACTGCTGCTGCAACGGCTTCATGCCAATGCTGCTGCTACAGCTCTTGTGATGGTATCCTGGCTGTGCTGAGGACTTTGGGTTTTGCGACGGGGTGGAAGGGGGGGGGAGGGACTGTCTCTGGGCCTTATGGTTCGTCAGTGGGGGAAGGTTTGGGGTTTCGTCGGCCGCCTCTCAAATCACATCCACAGCTCTCAGCTACCTAGACGACAATCTTCTTGCTTGTTGAAGCGCTTCTCCTCTCTTCAGAAGGATGAATGAGCCGCGCATGTGTCTGTATGTACGTATGTATGTGTGTATGCGTGACATGGAGATTCGTTGGTGTTGTCTGACAAGAGAGATACCCGATGTTCTCGCTTGTTCGCTTGTTTTCGGATATTACAAGGAAAACATCTATCGCCAGAAGAAAAAGATGATGATGATAGAGGGGGTTGGGAAAGGGAGGACGTACGGAGGCAATCCGTATGTGTCGCACTCCCCACCTACCCCCCCCAGCTGCACTAGCTCTAGCCAGTTTTCCAAAGTTGGGCGGTCCGCGATGCTGCGAAACATGTGTGCGTGCTGTACGCACGTGCATGAGAAATGTGCTTGTGTGGTGTGTGCGGGTGTGTGGTGCGTGCCTGTGTGCCATGTGTATTTCTATACGCATGCTGATGGTATGGATGGAGGTGGGATGGGCGCGACTCGGCAAGGTCGGGTGAATGTGCGGCGGGGGATGTCGAACGGGGGAAGGACGGGGGTAAAACCCGCCATTACACCCGTGTTTCTACCCCGCTACTCTCCCCCGCATGCTCGCCACCGCACAACCCATGCACTGCTTCTTACCTCGTCGACTCGGTCACGCGGTACGTGGGCGGACGGTTTCAACACGACATACATACAGATACATACACACATACACACACAGAGCTCGCCGGGGTAGGTTCGGCTCGGATGAAGCCCTGCCTCTCTCTCTCTCTCTCTCTCTCTCTCTGTGTCCCACTCATACACCAGTTTTGTGGTGAAGTTGCGGTGGGCGCCGTGGGTGCGATAAGGTGCGTCGAAGGCGGGGGAAGAAGAATGTGGCGTTCTCTGAAGAAGAAAGAATTCGAAGGTGTGGCAGCGGGGCTGGCGGCGGCGGCGGTGGAAAGCAGGGCAGTCAGTCGGACTTTCGGGCTTATTGAGGGTGACTGAAGAAATAGGCGAGGGAGCTGCAGGCCTTGGTCGCTAGTTGCCGGTGATGTGGCTGCCACACGATGGCGCATGGGATCACGTCGGAGGAGTCTCTGGGAGCAGTATGTATGTATGTATGTGTCTTATGTATGTATGTATGTTTTTTGATGAAGGTGTCTACGTCTGGTCCCGTGCCTCTCGCGCCCGGCAGGTACAAGGCACTGCCTTGATGGGCGGCTAAGACCACATGCGCGGGTGGGAACCCGGGGCATGTGTATGTGTGTCTGTGTGTGTGTGGAGGGGGGGGGTGGATATGGCTGCACCACGTGAAAAATGGAGGATGTTTGCGTGTGCGAGCAGTGAGCTTTTGAAAGGTCAGCGCTGAGAGACGGAGAAGGAAGGAAGGAAGAATGCACAATGTTAGCCGCGGTGCGGGTGACTAGTGTAACTATAATAATAAAGATATATATTGTAATACATATGGTGAAATGCAATTGCAATTGCAATTGCAAACGTATATATTGCCTTGAGAAGATTGCGTCGATGAGTTGGGCCATCTCGTCTTGGGCCCCTTTGTTTTGCTACTGCTGCTGCTGCTACTGCTGCTGCTGCTGCTTCGGCTCCTGCATGTTGCAGTTCGCGCTACAGCCCATGGCGGCTCATGGAAATGTCCATATGACTGCTGATGATGGCCGGATAGGTCTATGGTTGTAGCCTCCGTCAAACAATCCGTTAATACAGTTGCATGCCGTTAGCAGTAGCACTAGTTCTAGGTACAACACTTCTAACCCTCCTAGCGGCGGTCATGCGTAGGGCAGTTGCGGAAAAGAGGAAAAGGGAGAGGCCCAGTATTTTTTAGAGGGGCTTCGAAGAATACAACCTCAGCCAGCTTTTGACTAGGCTGCTGTAGCTGGCTCCAAAGCGGCAACACGATAAAATCTGGCTGGGATGGGGCGTTACACTGGGTGAAGAGCTATAACAGTAATTGTATGATGTCCCGGTGATCAGTCTCATCGGGACCAACTAATTAACTAACAAGCTGACAGGCTACCGATCAGTATTAAACTTAGTTAGCTCTAGTCGCTTCTCTCTCCTCCGAATAAGTAGAAGTCACGCTGCTCCAGAACCACGAATGCTCGTCCATATGTCGTACCTAGCTGAGAAACCTTGGCTTGGTTTTATTCGCTAATGCGCCCTAATTAATGCACCCTGTAGCCGAGATAATGTAGATGAAACCGCTCAGATCCAATCTGAGGCTTTCGGCGGCACGGAAGCGCTGTTATTCGCAGATTGGAGCACGCCTTGACCGGGGTAAGGACCAGTAGTTGGAATATCGTGTCGTCGCTGGTCTCAAATGGTGACGTTCAACCGTACGGCAACAGCCTTGGCATCTGCAGGGGGGAACATGGTTGCAATACTATACACATCACCAAACCAGTAACTCCCATTCAACAACGCGCAGTCATAGACAGACGTCAATGCAACGCGTCAAAATGATGTCTTCGCTGTAACATTTTTTTTATGAATTCCTGAACACGTCAACCCTGATTAGCAACGACACGCTTGGCTACAAGTGGCCTTATGACAGGTTGTTGCCTAAATAAGCGAGGCTGGATTACACCCATGGCATGGGAGGTCCTAATTTCTACATCCATCCTGGTTAGTGGAGCCCGACGTTGTCTAAAACCCTAAAACCTTAAGGGGCGCAGACTAAGGGCTGACGCGTGCTCGGAGGTTAAATCCGTACTTCAGTGCAAGGGCATGCACGCGGTTTAGTGCAGCACAGTTGGCGCTGGAGACTGGAAGAGACGACAAGCAAGAAGTAAGCCGCAGCGTTACAAAGATATATATAAAATGTAATATACACATTGTTGCAGGCAGCCGGACTAAGGGACACCTGTTTGTTGCTGCGAGCCAGTCAACCATACCGACCGGCTTTGAAATTGCTGAACCATAACAACTCGCTTTAGCATACGCGTGCACGAACGAGCGACAACAGAGAGCGCTCCCCCAAATGCGCTACCTGCCTGTATCAATCTAAAGAAGCAAGTCTGCTAGCTTCTGAAGCAGCCTCCAATAGCGGTTGGCTGCACCCCGGTAGGGGGGTACGGTAGCTATAATTCGTCCAAAACAAATCCTTCCGAAGTCAAATATCATCCCCGCACACGCTCCCCCCGCATATCTTCTTTGCATATCTTGAGAAACCATAGAAACTTGGAAAGACAGTAAGGTGCAGCGAAGTCGAAAGATTGTCCTCCGTTATCCTGGGAAACATAGCTCCAGGAGAGCCTGAGGCCAACAGCCCCGCAACGCCACGTACGCCCCCTTCCTTCCCCGATTAGCTATGCCCCCCAGCGCGTCCGCAATCAGGATGAGCCAACCAACATCTTCATGCAGCGCACGTCATCCATTGCTCCGAGATGCAGCGAATGTCGCGATGGTCATGAATAACGGTCAGTACCCTGATCAGGTCCAAGACACCAAAATTGTTGCCGCTCGCCGCTGACGAAGCGGCCCGCCACAGAACCCCTCATCACAGCACGAAAGACACCACATTGTTCATGGTGACCGACAACAACAAACACAGCATTCAACAAGCCCGTTGGCAGATGACATTAACTATTTAAGCATAAGTATAATGATACGCGTACAATCGCGGAGCCCACCACAACAAGACATCAACCGTTCCGGCTGCCACTTCCAACGAGACGCAATGTCATCATCGGTATGCAGCTAACAATGAGTGCTACACAACCTGCATTACTTATTTGTAACAAGCACGCCATTATTCCTAGCATGAGTTGGGTCACAAACAAGGAATAGTTCGCTGGGGCGCCTCCAGCGGGTACTCACACGAAATTAAAATTAAGTCGATAGCCTAGTCAAAAAAGGGCCGGTTAAGCGAGACGATGGCTGCCTTCTGGAAGTAGGTGTCAATCTCGTCCCTCGTGGGTGCTCCAAAGAGAGACCTCGCAACTGGCAGTCCCGAATCCAGCACCGGTAACGCTGGAATTACAGGACATTGCTGATCCGCCTTCGGTAATTGGCACGCTGGAAGCGGGCGAGAGGCGGGTGTCGAAGGCACTCCAGCCATCCGTGGCGCATTGCAGCCGAACTGGCCGCAGTTGTTGACACTCGAGGACGTACTTTCCATTGCATTTGTAGGGTAAGGCTTGCAGGGGCCACAGCTGGTTGGTGATGACAGAGATTCCATGGTCGATGGCGGCTTCTTACAGAGTCACGAGAACTTCTGTTGTGTCTGGTCAGGAACGATCAAACGAAGTAAAGCGTGTAATAAGTGCGCAAAGTCAGGTCGAACTTTGTAAAGAAAGGGTGGCTTTGGCTTGTTTTTGTAGTGTTGTGGGAACCCAGCAGTTGGGACCCAAAGGGTTGGGTGATTGTGCAGTAGTGGTACGCTGCAGTGCTATACGTCGGAGTCGCTAACGATGCATTTGCTCAGGAGGCACTTGCATGTGTACATGTTGTAGTTTCTGACGTAGATATCAGGTCCCGCCAAAAAAAGCTTTCGAAATGTACCCTAGCGACGACCGGTCGAGCTTACCAGTATCCCTGAATGACAATATGGGTTATATTTATTTTATTGCGTTTTGATATAGTACGTATTATTGAGTACATGGTAATCCTGCTTTTGAAACCACTTCTGGATTCGCATCGCCTTTACCAAGCCCGTTATCAGGTGAGTGATATCATTAATAACAGGAATATATGCTTTATCATAATATTCATTTGTGCAGGAAAGCGGCGCTTCTACTAGACGTACGTGCACGGAAATGTTTATGCTATCGCATGTCGACAGTACCGTTTGCAGCAGACAGTGTTAGAACCCTTAGTTGGGAAACTGTGTCTCCTTTGAACTGAACTTTTCAGGTCGATTTGGGACTCGTCACTTAAGAAGTGCTTTCGTAGAATCAAGCATATCGACGTCGAACACGGGTCCATCGAATTACCACAAGCGACTTTGGCGCATGGTCATCACCTGAATACTGCCATACAATAGTATTTCAGTGTGCGTTTGGATTCCAAAACATTGTGACCCTCGACGTGATTCCGCAGACGTCCGCAGTACTCCGTAACCCGTAACCAGTAAACAATCGCCCTTAACCCCAGAAGTTGCATATCCATCTAACATTGCATTCAGCGCACTGAAATATAGCGGTATATGTTTGAACAAAATTGTTATGCAAGGAATCATAGCGGTGTTAGTGCTTAGGTAAGTGGCCCACACTGCCAGCGTGGAGTGCCAGGTGAATTGTCGCAACAACAAAATGTTATTGGGATCCGCTGGAATGTGTAAAAGCCTCCGGAAAGAAAAAACAGTCTTCAAGGTATACAAGGAACAACGCCTGTCAGCCACGTTTAATCAACTCCTTATAGCTCACGTGCCAACCGCTCTTGTGCAAGTCGCGCCAGCCACTCAAAACCGTACTCCCGGCGCATCGAGGACATGCTCTTCTTGACCTATCGTGTCGTCATCTTTCCTCTTAATGTAGGTATTGATTCCGCAGCACAGATCCATTAAACCGCACAGAGGCGCACTTCCCCAGATTCACCGTTCACGGGCATTACGACTTTTGCCATGGCGGATCTTCAAAATGAGCTACAATTAAACGATTAGATAATTGTACATGGTCAGACAGCATGTTCTGACGTCGGCTTCATGTGCGCATATAAAAGCGAATTCTACGACTGCAAGGGCAACACCTATCGAAGATTTACGACACTGTTATTATCGTTTGCGTCTGCTGATCTGCCACGTCGCGCCTGCGACGTCAGAAACGCTTTCCAACTCGTCGGGTCGCTGACTCAAAACATTTCCAATTCACGTAATGAAATACCGTTGAGATTTTGTCAACCGACCAGCACTATGTGTGTTGTAACACTAAGTAGTGTCGGGTCGACGCGCACGTGTTGCTCGCGCGGTTTGCTCCTGTCGTGAGTCAGCCCAGCAGCCGCATAACGGTGCATTGCACAGCTGCATGACATATTACTACATTACAGCAGCACAGATGAACTAAAGGGGAACCCCTGAAGGGGCACAACACTTACCAAAGACAAGGCAGGTTCCAGCACTGCCAGTGCCTACAGTAAGGCAGAGGCGAACGGGACCTTCGCTGTCTTCGCCGGTGGATTTACCGTGGATTTACCGGTCTCCGTCGAATGAATCCACGTGCTAGAATTACTTGGGAAATATTTGGACAACCCGTGATTAAAATTCAAAAAAAATAATTTGCCGTAAATTTACCTCTGGGACAAATATAAAGTCGAACACAACCTAACGCGCATGTCTAGCGATCTTAATAGTTCTTCAGCAATGCGCCCGATTGATTGCACAGACAGTCCATCCCAACCGACACCAACCGACATCAACCGACAGCGGTTTGAGCGCCCTACCAACCCCTTCCTTCCTTCCGTATCCCCCAGCCGATGTCTAACTGATTCCTGATCCAACCTTCGCTAGTTCCAGTGAACGCCAGAATCGATCGTCATGAAGAACAAGAACTCATTCCGCGGGTGAGAGGAACACAGCCTCCGGGCCTGAGAGCCTGAGAGCCTCCGGGCCTGAGAGCGTGCAGTTAAGCGCGTGAGCGGGGAAACACAGCAGCAGCTTCCAACCCAACCGCCCCGGCAACGCTAACCGCACACAACCGCACACAACCTTTTGCAACCACCAAAGCCGCCAAATCCCAATCAACCCAGCGCCAGAAATACGTGATTACACCGATATGCATGGATACATGCATGCATACATACATACACCTAGATCGCGACAACGCGTCTTATTCACCTTCGGTCTCTTCCTCCCTCTCTTTCTCCCTCTTATCTCTCATGTTCTCGTCTCGGAAAAAACAAAACACCTAAAAAAGGAATCATTCAACGCTTTGGCATGATACAAAAAGACATCAGTATGGGTGTCGACCTGTCTCTTTCTCGGCGCCTCTCTCTCTCTCTCCCTCTCTGAATTAAGTGGTGTTTTTCCGGGGGCGTGACGCGGCAAAACCCGACGTGTGTGTCCCCGGGGGGGGGGGTGAAAGAGCCCGCCCTCCACATAACGAGGTGCGCACATGCACGGGAGAAACGAACGCTCCCAGCACCCAGGGAGGACTGTATTCGAAAAAAAAACACAGCATGTAACGCCCCTCCAATGCCGGAGTAATTCGGCGGTCGTTCCCGTTGGGGTATACGGCTAGGTGCCCCTGGACAGCGTCAGGCCCGGATCGATATGTGACAGAGACACACAGAAGATACCACAGCCTATCCCACGTGCCTATCCCACCTGCCCACAACAGACACGCTGACCTCGCAAACCCCATCAGGTATGGGCCCGCCGTAAACTATGGAGACTACATGCAGTGACGCAAGCAGTGCTGTAGCTTTAAGTCTCCCGCCTATCAACGCACGTAACACACACACACACGCTTAGATATCCAGCTCACCACCACCAACACCAACACCACAACCCAACCCGTTGACTGCATTACCGATGGGACTTCCCCACGCGGGTCTTTCCCCCCCCCCGGGGGTGCTCCCTCCGCTACGTCGCTACCCCTCCCCTCTTTCTCTCCGTTCGGTAATCTAGGACATCAGCACACGCGCACACACATACACACACATAAAAAATGTACACATACGCACATGCGCGAATTTCCAAGAAAAAGAATAAGAGCAGCGGCAGCATTGAGCCATGCATACACACACATACACACATACACGTAGTACGAGGAAAACAATACGAATTTCTCAAACCAGCTTCTCTTCTCTTCTCGTCTGCTTTGTTTTTTGTCAGCTCAAGGATGTGCGTGTGCTTGGGGGGGCGGAGAGGGGGATTGCGCCCACGACATTCCCCCGGCGACCTAACCGCGGAGAAAACCCTAAGCCCAGCCATGTCCCACACGTGACACCTCAGCCGCTCCGCCGCTTCACTTGCCCTCAGCATTTCCTCCCCGCCTCCGACCCTTATAGAACCTGGGGCCCCCTAAGACCCCTAAGGTTAGCTTCAAAATAGAAAACTAAAACAAATTATTGTTAATACTCGTTCATTGGAGAGGATTCGCAGCGTCCGCCAACCCAACAGCAGCAGTAGTAGCAGCAGTAGCAGTAGCACTGTCCAGGAGGGGTATACCCCGGCGGCCGGCGACAGCCAATGAGCCGCGACCCGTACCCCGCCGCCGCCGCCGCCGCCGGACGGGATGCGCCATCGCGCTGGACGCTGCAACAACGACGACGAGATGTGGCTGCTCTTCCTCCACCACCTCCTCCTCCTCCTCCTCTTCTCCTTTCTCACGCGTGATTGAGGAGCTAACGACGCTAACGGATGCCGGCGTTGAAGGCAGCCACGCCTCCGAAATCGACGCGGATGGCCCGGAAGATATGCAGTGGTGCAGTACGTTCTGTCGTACATCGAGACGTACGGACACTGACTGTGCAGCCGACTCATCCGGCGTGGAGTCGTGCGGTGCCACAGGCTCCTCTTGTTTCATTGTTTCGTCCTGGCAGAACCCTGGGGCGCCTCCAAGATCCGAAACCATGGTTGCAGCAATCGCAGCGGCAGTAGCAGCAGCGGCGGTGGCGGGGACGGCGGGAGGGGCTGCGGTCACGGTGGAGGCGCAGGGGGGTGAAGTTCTGCGGGGCTGAACCAGAAAGCGGGGCCCTAGCCGGCTTGCGGCATGACCGTCAACGATGGCCATTTCCTGGATCCTGACGATGGTGGGTCGTGCGCCGTTCGCCTTCTCGGCTGGCAGAAGGATGCCCTCCGGTGATGGGCTTGCCATCGCGCGAGCGATCGTCGGTGCAAGCTTGCGCGTCACGTTGTCGCGGAAAGCGCGCAGCTGCTTGATATTATTGCTGCACGTCGGCAAGCTGCTGACTATGAGGCGGTAGGTCGCAGCGTCTGTGAAGTCAGCTTCCACGACCTCATCGCTGAGGTGGTTGAAGTCCCACGCGCCGGCGACCGACGCATCTGGTATGAACTCGTTATGGTAATCCCAATTGATTGGGGATATTTCGAGGTTTCCTTCTACATGCTGCGAAGGACAAATTACAGAGGTGGCGGCGACTAGGGTTTCATGCCTTCGAATCATGTGGATAGGCTTTAGGAGCACCTGAGCGCGCCCTAAGCATGGGGCTGTGTGGATAAGAGTGCTTAGAAGTTGAAAGCTCACGGCCATGCAGGTTCTCAAAAAGATACTGTTCGTTTGCGGCTTGCCTCAGCTCTGTGCTCACATCACCAAGTATGATAATAGGGACTATGATATTCGCTGGGGGAAATTTGTAATACTAGCTCATTGTGGGTATTTCTTCACAGCTGACCTTAACCAAAGTCCGTTGCGCGGCAGTTGGTCAGGGGCTCGCGATTGCCCGTGCGGCTGGCCAGAACGTGGGTCTACATTCCAGCTTCCTTTGTCTGGATGCGCGTGGAGGAACCAAATATCAATTCGCACCCTTACTCATCTCAAGCAAAAATGCATCTGCATATTCCTGGGAAAGAAAAGTGTGACCCAAACCGGTACCATAGTGCAACTCCGGCCGAGAATTCCTTTACGGCCCAACATATTAACCCTCTTGATTAGAATATGTTGTCTATTTTCTACGAACTGAACTCACAATTCACCCTAGCGGAGGTGGTATCTGCAATTAAGTCTCTCCGCAACAACAAACTCTGGTTGGCTCGATTGTGTACCTGCAGAATACTATAAATATGCCAGGAGAGAGGTGGTGAAAGGGAACCAGACCGCTTCTAACAATTGGAAAGCGCAAGCTGACTTTACTTCCAGAGAAACCGGCGAATTTCATGAGGATCGGCTCCTTCAAACTCAGGCTTACAATGTCAAAATTTAGGTCCACCTAAATAGTCAAGCTAGCGCCCAACAACTTCACACGCCGTACACGCGGCCAAGCTTCGCTAGCTCCGAAGTTACGACACGATCACACACGTGTTCCGAAAGTTTGGCAACTAACTTCATAACACTACATACTCCCCACAAGGGAAAGCAATAAGCGGCCAAAGTTGTGCACCTCTCAGATTCCCTTAACAAATCGGTACCAGGCTAACGAGGGGAAGGGAAAAAGGGGACCGGAGTCAAGTTGCCCGCACTGGATACCGGCATAAATGTGGTGCACGACTCCTATCTAGTCCGGGTTAAGTAACCGGAGATGCCAACAGACATGCATAAAGTGCTAAGAGCAACGACTGAAAACCCTTAGAACCCAGAACAAGGAAAACCAAATAACAACCCACAACCCACACGACATGGACCCGACGGCAAACAAGTTATTACTACGTTACAGACAAAACCAAAACGAATTCTAACCGCAGACGTACCCAACGCACATGATGACGCATACGCACACACTATCCTGCCAGAAACTGCACTATCCGCGGCGCGCACTCCGGTAACTTGGCACTGAACCAGGCGCAGCGGTCTGACTGCGGTGATGAACGCAGTCCAGTTTGGGATTCTCAGGAAGGCACGAAGCGTTGGCAGGCTGCGAACGCCGTCGTACGGTTCCATGACGGGTCACGACCACTAGCCGCGGACCACTGCACGAGGAACATGAGGGACGGACGGACGTGCGTGGTTGCTGCACCCTTGGTGGACAGCAGTGACGACGGTATCTAAATCGCTGTCCTGCGGCGATTCCAGAGCAGCTGGCGCTGCGGGTGGAGGTGGTGGGCGGTCTGGGAAGAGAGAGCGCCGGGTCGTTGTCGTTCCCGGGATGAAGGCGGCTGATGTGGAAGACTGGATGGAGGCGGCCGAGGGAGGCTGGACGGTTGAGGCGGTAAGGGACTGGGGAAATGACGGAAGAGATGAGAAAGAGACCGGGGTAGCGGATGGGGGAGCTTGGAGGGGGGGGGGAGGTTGGGAGGTGAGGTGTTTGGTGGAAAGACGGACGCGGTCATCAACTTTGAAGGTGAGGGCGTGGCGATGCGGTCTTGGCATCTAGGTAGCGGGTGATGATGGTGGAGGGTTGTCGGCAAGTGGCAGCATCCATACACACTCTCCTTCGATGTCGGTCGACAGGAAAGGGTAGGGCGGTGAGAAAAAAAGTGAGAGCTATGCGGTCAAGCCGAAGTCGTCGCAGTGGGATTCCACGGTAAATGGGCCGTACTGTGAGTTGCATTTAATGAAGATCGTACGTTCGAGTTTCCAATCAATGTTTGCCTGGCATGCTTCCTCCGTCGTCGAGGCTACAGCTGCACGAGCATGCTTGCGGCCGACACGGCGGGCAGGCTTACATACGATTTGAGCAAGACGTTGGACGTTAGGACGCGACGTTATCGTTCGTGTGCACGGCTGACGACGTCGGCAGGTTGTGGCTGACCGTATCTGCCGATGACGGCCTAGTGGCCTGTTTAGCTGTGGCCTAGGGAGCGGTTGCGGATAGGGGATTTAGCGGTTTGATCGTTGTGGTACTTGCCGCGGCACCCCTGGGGGCTGTCACAGCGGCGGAAGGGGGAGCGACCCGGGTGGCTGCGGTTGCCGTCGCTTCCATGACGGCTGCGAGAACGTCAGTCTTCGGAGATGGAGGAGGACGCTGAGGAGCGGGAGAGCGGGGCGGCGTGCGGCGATTTGGGTCTTCCTTAAAGGAGCGGCGGGGCTGCGAGGTGGTGGGTGCGGTCATAAGACGACGACGACGGAGCTCCGGACAGTGCGCCTTCGTGCGCGACTCGTCCCCACACCGGAGGCAGACATGGCGCGCGCCATGCAGTGGCTGAGGTGAGGCGCAAGTTATGAGGGACCCCTATCGAGGTGCTGCTGCTCGGGATCGGCGACTTTGTGCTGTAAGCTGCGGCGGTGTTGGCGCCAGCTGTCAAGTCCTTAGGGTCGTCCTGGCGGACGTCCCGTGTGCTACCTGGGTGCGAAGGGTCTGTGGCAACAATAATGCAGTAGAAGATGCGTTCCACGTGTCCCGCCTACAACGACATACGTGAACGGCTCCTCAACCCCTAGGAGGTGTACGTCAGGATGATATCAAGCCTCCGTGCCTAATATGAGGTCTGTCTGGAGATAGATGATCAGCGCGGACTTGCGCAGATCGTCCACAAACATCTGGATGAGGCGACGCACGCTGATAGCCGAGTAGTAAGCCTGAGGTCGCTTACTCTTGTTACTACTACTACTACTACTACTACTACTACTACTACTACTACTGCTTTCCCTCGCAAAAGGGTTCATAACCCCTTTTCGATTACGCTAGACCTCGCGGTCTCAAGGTCCAAGAGCCCGACTACTCCGCCATCAAGAGGTCCTGGCTCGTCTGGGCCATACGAGCTCTCTCGAGCTTGTGACATTACATCACTAGTAGACCCCGCCGGCTTCGGGACCTGCTGCTAGCAATCTGACCCCACCTGATCCCATCTGGCCCTGTCTACAGCAGTAGCGGGCCTGTGGCCTCACCTCCCGACTAACACCGGCCCACCGGGGTCCTCGACTCAATGCACGTCCCAGAACTCCAAGCAGCGCTGCAGCAGCGGGCCCTGCTGCTGAGCTCCCCGCGGACGGCTGCCAAGACCTCGACCGGTTCTTTCTGCAAGGGGTCTGAAAACCCCTCCCTCATATCTGAGCTGTCCGAGTCGCCAGTGGGCTCCTCCGCTGCGGTCCCCGATATCCAACAGGGTTTGGACGCCTTGGGCTTCTGGGCAACCCCGCGCGGTTGCTGTTCCCCGGCGGGTTTGGAGCTTTGCCGTATCATGCTGGCATGTTCTCTGTGGTTTCCGGCCTTTTGAATTTTACCTCGCATTTAGCTTTGGCCTGTCCTAAGAGGTTGCTGATTGCTCCTTCTCACCTTCAGAGAAGTTAATTTTCCCTTTGGGTCGCTCAATTTTCCCTTGTCCATGCCTTCGGTGCTGGTGGTGGTGCCGCTGTGGAAAAGGAACATTCAGGAGTTGCCAGCTGCTTTTATTCCTCACGCTTATGTATTAAGTTCATACGTTCAATTCACTAACGGTGTACGTATTCCGCACGCAAGGCCGACCTTGCATAGTATGCAAAATCATTACAAAGAAGATATTACTAAGCGTAGGCGTGCAGGCGGGCAGGCGGGTGGTCAGGCGGGAAGCTAATGGCGGAGACATAATTTGCTAAGAGAAGCTAAGATTCAGATCGCCGACTTCCAAGGTCCAAGGCAGCGAACGAGGGATGGGGCAGGGGGGTCGCAACAGCAGCGGGCCATCAGCTACAGCGCGCGCGCACGCATGCATGCACGCAGTTTCTCCGCATCAAATTGATTTGTGTTGTGCTCAGCGTTTGGCAGTCGTAGAGCACATTTCCAGCACGCCAAGCCACTGAACGGCATATTCCTTCACAGCCGTGCCTCTCGTGCGCTGACCGCCACGGACTCAGCCTCAATCGTGGCAATTTTGCCCAAACGCTTGACCATCCCACCCAAGAAGTACGGCTTGCAGTGCTTGCTGGAGGAATCGCAGTACTCGCCCATGCTACAGTCGCCGTACGACGAACACTCCTTGCCCAGCTCCTGCACCCCGGTGCAGGGAGAAGCATGGACAGGCAGACAGACAGACAGACAAACAAACGCGACAAGACAGATCGGCAGACAGCAAGCATCACACCCAAGCGATGGCGCAGGCACAGCCACATGCATGTCATACATGGCAAAAGGGAAAAGCCCATCATTTTCGTGCTGGGAGGCCGTGCGATATGAGTCGGCCTCTCCCCGATATATGTACCTCTCCAACCGTTTCATGAAATTGGCACCTCTCCTTGAAACGAGAGCACCTATTGAACATCTCTCCATGCGGAAGACACGTCAGCATCATGAACCAATTATGCCGTACGGCTGCCTTAGAATGTAATTCTCCAGTGAAGAAAAAAAACAGGAAGCTGGCAGTAGAGGCTTGACCCTTTTCATACTTTCAATGTCCCTAAACGGCGGCGTCTATCGCACCTAACGCTTCCAAATGTTTTTCTTTTCCTGATGATGTTTCCTTTTTTCTATGCACATCACCTCCCGGTGTCTCTCCCTCCCCCCCCCCCCCGCTCCACTGCTGGCCCAAAGACGACGGGGGTCACCGTCACCCCTTACCACACAAGAGTGGGCGGTCTTCCGAAAGCCACGGTCGCAGTAATAGCCCTCCACGCAGTCCTTGTCCTACACCACGGAAGAAAACGAGGAGGTTCATGCGGTGTGCAGACAAGAGATGCGACCACTCCCAGTGGTGGAGAGAAGCAGTGGGCGCCAGAATCAGCACCATTAATAGACAGCAGAAGCAGAAGCAAGGCTCTGCAAATGCGTGCACACACACACATACATACATACACACGCACGAGGCACCAGGAATGCAGCGCCAGAAACACGACCTTTGGGTAACCTTAAAAAAACATTTGGGTAACCTTTAAAAAACATTACACCTACAACACACATGTGCTCACCTCCATGCACTGCACACAACGACCGTTCGTCTCTTTGCCGCCACTGCGTGCCTCGCGTGTCGATGTCGATGTCGATGTCTGTGTCTCGACACCAGCCGTCGAAATGACATCGCTCGCGGCGTCGCCCGGCTGAGGACCGTCGTGGTCGTGATCGTGATCGTGGTCATGGTCTGCAAGCACATGCAGGGGTGGGCAGTTGACGGGAGCCTGAGAGTGTTGGGAGGAGCACGGATCTCGCGGAGCAGCGGTTGGGTGGATGGGCGACTAGTTGGGGAATCCAAGACAGGGAGCAGGTGCAGGTGCAGGGCCCAGATGGTACCCGAACAGCTCGGGACGTTGGGCCCGGGGGACTGCAACACACGAAGTGAAGCGGTCGTGTGATGAATTGTGCACGTAAGAAAGAAGTTGGCTGTGTTGGTTGGGAGTGCTTTAGTAAGAGACATGAAAGGCTGCTGCCAAGTGGAAGATACGCCGTAAGATAAGACCGCCGCGAGGAAGAGGGTGGGCTTGTGGGGGCGAGGGTGTTTTGGACGCATGCGTTCCGATGTGCCCCCGAAACCATCTCGCGAGAGAGGGAGGGAATCATATGGCGATAATGCAGAAGCAAAGTGTCAACAGTGCACGTGAAGAGGGCGGGAGAGAAAGTGAACAAGAGGGGAGTAGGGAGGGGAGAAGGGAGGGAAAGTTAAGAGTGAGCGCCGCCACAGCCATTACAAAACTTTTTATAAAATGCTATGGCTGCTAAACCCCCCTCCCTGTCCGCGTACCATGGTCGTGGTCGTGGTCCTGGTCTTGGTCGTGGCCGCCATCAGCATGCGGATCGTCGCCATCTTTGCCTGTGTTGTGACAGACAAAAGCATTTGCCATTACCACCATCACCACCACCACTACCATCGCCATGCAGTAGCAGTCAATGGGGAAGTTGGGAAGGTAGAAACACTGCATCCCACCCCACCCCACCCCACCCCATCCACCTCCATAGCTACCATCACCACCAAGTGGCTGCGCACCCCGGGCACCTATCTAGATTGGCGCCCAAATTGGCGCCCCATTGGCGCCCAAATTGGCGCCCCATTGGCGCCCACTCATCCATCCACCTCCCGCACCATTTCGTACTCGGGAAGGCAATCTGTGCGACGCATGTTCGTGCAGAGCCAGCGGAGAGCTAGTGGCAAAGGCAGCGCCTCAACAGGCAACCCCAGTAGCCCCCAACGATCCACAACCCCCCGTGGCGCCCTCACCGGCCGAGTCTTCTGCATCGTCTGTCGGCCCCTCAGCCAGAGCAGCCCTCCTGGCTTTCCAGCCGCGGTGGCCTGCATGGCATCGTACGACAAGTACGATTAGTCCAATTCTTTTCAATGCGGTCAAACCATTGCGATATTATTTTTTACTTTCGCCTATTCTTTCATTCCTCACCTCTCTTTGTCTACCTATCATTTATCTGCTTGTCCCTTTGTTTCATGTTTCTTTTTTGCCGCTTTTTTACTTCTCCGCTCGACTCCTCTCGTGTCCTCTCCCCCACTGCGATGCCGCCTCCTTACCGTGATGGTCTTCATGGCGCTCCACCTCATGTCGACCGTGGCCTTTATAATGCCCATCCCCCTCCTCATCCCCATCGTCCTCATCCTCGTCCTCGTCCTCATCATCATCGTCATCGTCATCATCGTCACCATCATCATCATCATCATCATCATCATCATCATCATCATCATCATCATCATCATCATCGTCGTCATCATCATCATCATCATCATCATCCTCGTCGTCGTCATCATCTTCGTCATCCTCGTCTTCGTCATCATCCTCGTCATCCTCGTCATCGCGCTTCAACGCAATCCCCTCGTCAGCAGCAACACCACCAGCAGCAGCAGCATCACCAAGAGCAGTGGTGCTGATGGGCCTGGTCAGGACAGCCATGGCGGCGGCAGTGGCGGCGCCGCCGTCACTGCTGCGAGAACCACCCGGCACTCGGCTCATGTACGGAGAAGTGTTACAGAAGGGTGCCCTCGAGGGACAATCCTCGTCAGCAGAGCACCTGCGACATCACCGGCCGCGGCGGCGTCAAGAATGGCAATGACGGCATTAGTCACGACGGCCCTGTCACTGCGGCAGCGCAGGGGTGGTACAGTGGCGATGCTAAAATAGATCGCAAAGAACAACCGATGGGCCTTATTTACATTAGGCCACAGCACAGAAAAGAGGAGCACGAACCTCTTGGCCGTTTGCTCTTCGCAGTTACGGCGTCCAACCCAAGCCCAGTGGCCTCAGTCCACTTACGGGGTGACGCAAACGGAGCCAGTGGGCCACCAGCTTCTCCGACAGGTTCCGGAGCGGCACTCTTCATCTTGACGACACGACTCACCGTCGTCCTTCACCGCTAAGCAACCGCCATTGACACAAACTGCGGGTTTGTGTGATGATATATATATGGGGCCGGGGGTCCATGGCTGGATTAGATTTCGGTATAACGACAAGAAGAAGCATGCAGAAGCATGCCGCAAATGATACAGGCTGGGTGTTGGAAATGACCGACACTCATATACCAGTGAATGGTAACCACAGTAATAGGACCCAACGGGGGTCCGGCGCTTTGCTGGTCTTAACACTGGGGATGGACATTAATGGCCGGCTGGTATCGGCTGATGGTCAAATTCGTTTTTTGATAGGCATTCGCAGATGATTGCGAAAGGCTCAAGATGCCGCCAAAGCGGGTTTAAACACTATCAAGGCAAATCTTGGCAAGGGGAGTGAAGTAGAGTACAGAGTTACCTTAAAACAACAACGGATATCGACGTCTTAAGCCGCCCAACCGTCCTCACATAACCTTACTGGAAGTTGAAAAAGCCAGCCGTGTGACCAGTTTGAAACAAACATACCTTCCGAGCGCCGGCAGTCGTCATCGTCAAGACAGTCGTCTGGACGAGTCAAGCCGTCATCTGCGCAGCCGCCAACCGACCAACCAACCAACCAATTAACCGAGAACCGGGGAGGGTGGCACGACAGATGGGGCGGCGGGAGTGGGAGTGACGCAAGGACGCATCAAAAGGCAGGGTGCGGGCAATGACACTAGGCAGGCGGTAGGGTGCAATTTTGAAGCAGCCAAACAGTGGCGATATTAACTTGGCTGCGAAGTTTTGTACATCGCGGATCCTCGCTCGGCTGCTTGCCTTGTTCACCAGGATGAACAAGATAATGGGTGGGATTTAGACTGGTGTGGATCAGGAAGACACGGAGCTGTTGCTGATTGTGGATGAACACGGGGGCATTTGGGACTAGTTTAGCTTATGGGTGGGAGCGTACCGGTGTTAATCAGCAGAGCGGAGGGGCGAGCGGCCAGCGTTGGCGCCGCCAGTGACGCTGCCAGCAGCAATGCCAGCAGCGCACGCTGCGAGCTGCGCATTACGGCTGCTTTCGGCACCTGGAAAAGGGGGCCAGGAAGGCAGTGGCGGGAAACTTGGTTATCTCTTCGTTGAAGGGGACGGGATACTTGCCATTCCCTAGTCAGGATAAGGGATGACGTGGATCTAAGGGAAGAAGTGGAAGCCTCTGGGTGGGAAAGTTCAACTGCTTGTACGAAAGCAATTCATGTTGTAAATTCGCAGCTGTTGACTGCCGCTGTCCATGAAATAACGTTTGGGGCAATGTTGGCATTGGACGTTCAGAGCGCTTGAGCATCTTCGCAGGACTTCTTTCCACTCAGTTTATCCGATTCCAAAGGTTTCGTCAGTGATAACTTAATGAAACATAATATTAGATATGCTACAGCTACAAACTACCAGACCGCTCGGCTACTGTGGAACTGACCTACAGGAGGGTGTAAGCGGAAGCCTCAACCTCCGCCACGGCGCGAAACTCAATATGTTCAATTGGTATTCAATAATGTAAGCAATCGACTTTTGTTGAGACCGCGCTAGTTCCTTTGTCGTGGGCGTCCGAACCCCTATATCATGTCTCCGAAACCAAAGCACGAATAGCAAATATTCCCTTGGACGCATATTACTGAGGCCACGGGCCTCCGAGCACTTGTAAATTGAAATGCCTCCGCCCAACACCGACCCAATTGGGTAGCCCCAAAGGGAAAGCCGAAATAGCCAGTCCTCAATCCTTTAACAACGAATCAAACCGACCGAGTTGCACTTTACAAAAGCGTTGCATCAAGCGGGAATCAAACCCCCAAACCTCTGCAGACCCGTCATGCCAATCGCTGTGAGTCAAATGGCATAGTCATAGTCAAATGGCAACGGGCCCATGGAGACCAGTTAGCCGGTCACCTCCGCAAATCCCACTTGAACAGCGTCGAAACTGGCGCTGCGCACATGCACGCGACATGCAAGACTAGGAAAGCACCGTATTTCAACACCATCACAACCCAATTCCGTCGAACAATCATTCAAAGTAACAAAGTACCCAAAGCAATGTGTGCATTGATGGCACACCAAACAACCTCTCTCCTGACAGGCACCATTGGCCGCATTATTGCCACGCAGCAGCCTGGAGCCGGAACACGCAAGAAGGCGTGGTGTGGCATCTCGATGCCGCCCAGTGCTGGGCAACAGACACCACGCGACCACCAACAGTCCTCGGCTGAAGATCCCTGTGGATGCCAATAGGGCAACTAATGCGCTGCTGATCGCATCCGCCAGCACAGCAGCCACGGCCCGTCATGGCCTCAGAGGATTACAACTTCCTAATCCCTTCCCCACCTTCCTCACCCCAGCCAAAATGCCGAAACACACAACTCCCCCCATTTAGACCTCCGAATAATGTAGTCTCCGGCCATTCACTGCCCGCGGAAACAAAAGCAAGTATAGATATCAAGACATACAGGCAAGCACTGCCGTACGGGTCTCCACATACGCGGCTCCTCAGAAGAGTCGCTCCGCTCTATTGCGCACATGACTTGTAGGTCGTGTCGTTAATGGTGCTGTACAGCACACCCTCCGCGGCCAAAACCTCACACGCCTGCAAAAAGCGGAAGGGACGAGAGACGATACACCAAACACATTTTGCTGATGCTGAATGCATGTCATCTGAGTTACAGGTTCCGCACACGTCCGGGGGTGGGGTCCGTCTGTATAAGCCCCGGGAAGGAGCCGGGAAGGACGGAATATGTACGTATGCTTTGAAGTCTGCGATGTTCCGCCCTTTCCGACGCGCTGTGACCACAGCATGTTGGGGCCGTTTGGTCTCCCTAATTCCCAGCGCTACTTCTAGCCACCTCCCAGTCTAAGTCACCACCCAGCCTCAGCCATCTCCCACCATAGCAGCATCACACTCAGCTCGTAGGGTGTGCTTCCCTCTCCCAGACCGGCACCCAAAGACACGCCCCCAGCCCCCCCACCCACTTGAGCAACTTGCTGTAGATTGTAGTTCCGCCCCATATTGCGCAGCTCCTGAAGCGCCTCCTCGATGCCTAAGCCGTGGGTCGAAGAAAGCGCGCGCTGCTGGTTGTACACGTGCTTTAGGTCCATGGCGATATCGCCGCCTGTGGGAGGGTCGGAGGAGAGGGCCCGCGTAAAAACACACACACACACACTTCCTCAGCATGTTCCTGCATCAGCACCATGGACTCCTAAAAAGCCATTCTCCAATAAAAACTGCGTGCAACTTTTCAGTACAAGCTCCCGCTCACAGATGACTACATAAGCGGGAAGTAAATGTTTTTTTGGATGCAATCAAGTGAAGCCACTTAGGGTTTTAGGGGGTAAACCACTTGAGCAGCTTTATTGATACAACGATTGAAATAACAAGCAATTCCCATGTATGGGAGGCGGCGGGGCCCTGTCATCGCAGATTCCGCAGCGGCGCACGAGGGCGGAGCAGAATGATGGCATACAGCCTTCACGCAGGACCAGGCGGGCGACAGCTCATCCCTGCAGAATGCTCCTCTGCTTGAGCTGGCCGACGCGGGCGGAGGCCGGGGGTGGCCCGGCCCGGCCAGGCTGACGTTTCTGGGCTGGATGTTTCGTACCCGGAAACCCCTCCCTCCTCTCCCAAGGGCAACAACGCCCTTCTCCGATTGTGGACCATGCTCTTACGGGTAGCAATACCCACTTATTAGCAATACAGCTCCGCACAAGTCACAACCGAATTCTATTGGGAACACAATACGTACGACAAAATCGTACCAGGAAGGCCAGAAGCGGCAGCAGCACCGCCACCATAGCCTGCCTGCGCCATGCCGCCGTAGCCGCCGCCTGCGGCAGGAATCGCGTCATCGTGTCCTTAGCGCTCAGGGGAAAGCCAGGGTCGGTTTGGGAGCGGCAAATGGCAATAGGGTTTTGGGGTTCATGGAGGATGTGCACTGGAGCGGCGAAGAGAGTCGCCGGGCGGAACGCAAAAGATTTAAGAGGAGGATTGTTGAGGAGGAGCGCCGCGCACGTTGTGGAACCCGCGTTACGGATTACGGCGTTTTGTCGATTGGAGTCATCAAAAAGGAGGGTCCGCAAGATCCGGAAGGGTCGCCATAAGCAACGTAATCGATTTCCCCGCCACCGTAAACCCTCTCCCCTCAGATTTCAAGTTTCCTGACCGTCACCCTCCTTCCTTTCTGCGTCAGTGCCAGGCAGATGTACGTCTGCGTGCCTTTTCCTTCATGCCCCGCCTTCAGCATCCCCGATCCCCTATCACCGTACCCAAGCCCAAACCTACCTCCCGCCCCCGACATGCCGCCGTACAAACTGCCGCCACCGGGAGTCCTGCCGCCGGCCGGCATCGCGCCACCAGTGGACTGACCCGCGGGCGGCGCTCCCTTGGTCAGATGCAGGTGCTGCATGATGCTCTGGAGGAAGTGGTACGTCACCTGTGATGGTGGTGATGGTGTTGTTTGTAGCGGTGTTGTTGGTAGTGCCAATGAGCGGTGCAGAATTGCCTAAGGTGCAAACCATTATCACCTTCTTGCTGCGTCTGCACAAACTGACACCCAACACTTGTAAAAAAAGGCCTTGGGGTTTTGCGTGACAACGCCATAGGGAAAGAGAGACAGAGACGGGGGAAAAAGAGGGAGAGAAAAAGGGAGAGTGCTAGCTGGGGCCTGGTCGGTTTGAAATAAAAGACCGTCCAGAAATCGGTACTGGTGCTGGTGACTACCTCTACCGGGCCTTACCTCGTTGTGATCGGTAATCGGCTTCACGGCGAAGGCGGTAATGCTGCGTTTCCTTTCAAATGTCTTTAGGTTGCCGTACACGCGGACGTACCTCCCGACCTGCCAATCGACTCGCTTCTGGGCCTGCGTTATATAGACAGCGTTGAGAATGTTAGGACGGAATACCGCTTACGCAAAAGCCCAGCACCAAAGAACACGGTGCCATGTGTGTGTGCACGCGCGCGCGCTCACGCCTGTGTGTGTGTGTGTGTGTGTGTGTTTGTAACTATTCGTTCTGGGATGCATGGCAGATCGGCGGCCCATGCCCCTCCGCTTACGGTCCCGACGCCACCACACCAACGTCCCGATTCACCCGCTGATTCGAGACATTCCTCCCGGAGGGTGCCATTATGGGTTCTTCTTCAAGATGCCGCCTAACCTAACCCAAAAATCGCCAACAGCAGCATGCATGGGGCCGAAGAGGAGAACACCGCCAGCAGGCAGGAGGAGAATAGAACATAACCACCAATACCCCAATCACCAACGTTCCGGTTGCAAATCGTCATAGCTTGGCCTACTCGGTGGTTCTCCGCACAACCCATCCTCTATCCCGTGTACCTCTCTACCCCGTGGCCCCCATGTTCCCAAAACACCCGACCTGTGCATCCATGTCGTCCACCCAGCTGCAAACCTCTATGCTGGCCGTACCGTCGTACACTTGAAGTATCACTCGCGTGGGCCCCTCCTGGTAGGCGGTCACCTTTCCCACAACAGTCACCTGCGGCGGAAGAGGAGAGACACTTAAGGACCCCACTGTAAGGTCCCCACACGCCAGCTTGTCGCAGCCCGTGGAACAGCGGTAGATGCAGCAGGAGCAGGAGGTTTTGATGAGGGAAATTCGGAAGCGCTTGCACAGGGACATAGAGAGAGAGAGTGAGAACGTCATGCGTGATGGCAGAATTGGTGAGCAACCGTGCTGTGGTCTTGGCACAAAGAACCGCTCTTGCCTCAGGCTATGGGTTTTGCAACCCTATGCAATGCAGTGGTAGAGGAGCGTAGAAGATAACCTGTCTTGGGGGCCTGTCACCCGGACAGGTTGACGCATTTGGTGTGTTGGCTCACGCACCGTTGAGATGTCGTGCCCGTCAGCCATGTAGCGTTCGTCGTCGGCGTTGACGATTTCCTGCAAAAGCCCAAAGGCGCGACATCCATCAATGTCTGTTATCTGTAACGTCCGAGATCGTGAAGGTGGGTCGTCCAAAATGGTGCCCTGGCATCCTTGGGCTAGTCGTGTGCTTTTATGGGGCGATATGGGGATGGGGCTCTCGATTAGGCCGTGCGTCCGTCCGCCAATGGGTTTGCTGCTGAGTCAGAATCTGGATTGCATTGAAGTAGTGTCCTCGCAGCGGGGCGCACCTTTAACAAGTGCCGGATGGTGAATGCTCGGAGGGAGTTATGCTGGTTGCGGCCCTGCAATTGGGGCCAAACCATTCGGAAAAGTCATCGCAGGTTCCGACCTGAATCGCAATTGTTTACATTCAGTAACAGAGTCTAACATAATTATGGTCGCCTGGCCCCAAGTACAGGTTTATACCATGTGACCTCTTAACTGCGGACCAACCTTTTGTTGACCACCACCATACTGATTGTCATGACCAGGTGCCGGACTGCGATTGTATGTTGTTGAGAAGACAAGTCAAGCCCAACTAAAATCCCAGCTTGCGGCTTCCCGCCATCGCTTAGCATACCTGGCCATAAAGCCACCTCCCCCGAATTGACTAGCTCCAAGATTAGCATCACCAAAGCCACCGTAAGCCATTTTCCTCGCAGAAGAAAACCTAAGGACTAAGTTTAAACTGGATTAGTATGCCTTAGTCCGCGTGTTCAAGCTGAAGTGCTCAAAACTAAGAAGGATTACAGAAATGCTAGAAAATACATTGATCTTAGTTCAGCTGAGGTGACGCATGTTCACTGTACACTGTGAGCGTACGGCACGGCAGCGTGAAATGCCGGTGCACAGCACGAGGGCTCACGAAAGTCTCGCAGGAAGACTCAGTAGTACACATGTATTTTTCCTTGAGGACCCACTGATGATCTCTAATTACCGAGCCTACCGTGCTAAGTCCGCAGGCAACGGTGGAAAGCGAGATAACGTCGCTTGCGGAAAGTGTTCCTACAGGGCCGTGATTTCAGATGTAGTGGCGATGAACTGGGAAAGCGGGTTGCTTTCAAACTGTTTCCTTTCAAACTGGCAACTACGTGGAGATGTTAACCGTTTCGGGATGCTTGAAGTACGATGATTGACCTGGATGGACGCGGTCTCCGTTTCCAGGTATGCTGTCCTACGCACCATGCCGGCGCACCATGCCGCCTATTCACCCCCGCCTAAAACCCCAAATGGCATATGTCAAAGTAGCAGCATGAGATTGCTTTAGCGCACTACCTGGTCATGACTCGGGTGTCCACGAGGTCCCGTACCTTGTCCCGTACCTCGAGCAGGTTATTCCCTGACCTTAAGCGAAAGCTAGCATTTGGTCAATCCTAGGATTCTATACTTGCCCCTTCTGTGTGCCTTCATTTGCTTACGCCAAGAGCTCCACAACGTTATTGTGCGTTCCGCACCAATTCCGCAACCCGACGTGCCGATAAGATCAAGCGCCGTACAGGTTGTGCGTTCCGGAGCAGTAACTTGGAGTCCCAGATTTGCCTGAGGACAGCTTCTTTTATAATGATAGGTTGTAGCTTTTCAATCAAGCTGTGCCCTGTAATTTGCACAAACTACCCGCAATTCGCATTTTGGAAAGGAGCCTAAAGATTATTATACTGAAAGTAGCATATCACATTGTAGAATCATCATTTAAAGCAAAACTCTCAGGAATGAGGCCCCTGATGGATTGCGTTCCCTGTAAGTCAACTTCTTTCAATTACTTGCATAAACTTTGCCTGCATCCGAGAACGTCAATTACTTCCGTGCCTCAGGCTGTGGCGGTCGTCTGTCCTCCATGCGTGCGAGCAGAGCCAGGACGCCCTCGTGGACCACAACATCATTTCCCCGCTTACCCACGGCATGGCGCTGCTGTGCGTCACCGTCCTTCCCAAACACCGAGGGCGCAATCGCCGCAGACACCCTTGCAGACACATCCATGCCTTCAGCATCAGAAGCCACTTTGCTAGGCACCACCTGGGACCCCGAAGGGCTCTTCAGCAAAGCCTCCACACCCTTAAACTTCGCCGCGGGAGAGCAAATGGGAGACCTTATTGCACGTCGCGAGCGGGAGCGGGCCGCCCGAAGGGCGGCCGCAGCTGCAGCCTCCACAGCGGTGGGGACCCTTGCCCTGCCTCCCAACGCCCGGCCGCTGCGGCCGCTGCCCGGCGGCGGCGCGCCGGCCAGCGGGGTAGCTCCAGGGGATCTTCCAGCAGAGGTGGTTTCGGAGGTGGAGTCGCTGCTTGCATCGGACTACATGCCCGTGGATCTGCACTGGCCGGGCTTGCGGTTGCTCCATCTGGATCCGCCCGTCATTACGGTGGACGGCTTCTTGACGGCGGAGGAGTGTGACCGGATGGTGCAACAGGCGGAGTCGTCAGGTGAGCGAGTTCCCGGCGCTGTCCTGGATGGCTGAGGCCCGGTCATCATGCCAGCCGCCGCTCGCCCCGAGGCCTGCACATTTAGCTTTCGTCCGCAGGGGCCTGTGGACCTTACGGATAACGGCCACTGTCGCTGTCTCCTTGTTGCTGCTGCTGCTGATGATGATAATGATAGTGGTGGTGATGATGATGGTGATGATGATGCTGATGATGATGCTGATAATGATAATGATAGTGGTGGTGATGATGATGGTGGTGGTAATGGTGGTGATCCCAGATGATGTTCTTGTGTGATGTGTGTATGTGTGATGTCCCTTGCTGATTCCCTCATGGCCTCACGCCCCATGCCCTCTCGACTCATGGGCGCTACACGGTACACCCGTACCATAATTCCAAGGCCGAATGCAAGCTAGCCGTATTGGCTCGTCCAACGTGTCGTCGTTGTATGGCAACGCCGCGAGCAACCGTCGTACAAGTACGAGCATGATGGTAACGCCGGGTGTGGCGGGCCCGGCCATGGACAACGTGGTTTCGGAGCTTCAGTCCCGCGGCAAGAAACTCCTCAGGGCGGGTAGGTGCAGCGATAAGGGAGGAAGAGGGTGCGGGCACGTGCGGTAATGAGTTCCGGAGGAGCGGTATGTCAGGGGCTGTATGTATGTCAGTCAGCGGTGGTGACAGCTGCTGAGAATTGGGTTAAACGGTAATGCTGTTTACATCACAGATGGGAGCTTGGTTATGACTCACGAGCACACTGAGCCGCGCTGTAGGGAGGGTAAGAGGCGAGGAAAAGCTGGGGAGGGGCAAGACACTCATACCTAGCCCAAACTTAGCGATTCGCGTTCCTGCTGTTGCCGTTGTGGTGGGGTGTGCCGGTTTTGCCATTGTTTTTGTTATTGTTAATGGCATGATATGGGAGGGAGATGATGCGTTTTTGCTATATGTTTAAAAGGCTTTATGTTTGTGATAAATTTAAGTGCTTGCCGCCTTGCAGCCTGACATGGGTGACTGTGTTCGTGTTTTCACTTCTAGGATTAGGACATGACTGGACGTGCGTCATGTGGCACACGGCAGATTTACTGGCTACAGTCAGGAACGATCGCGGAATTATTGGTATGGTCTTTAGGCGGCCCTTGGGAAGCGCAACTACATCGCCCCAGACCAGCTCTGGTCGGTCTTTTTCGTCGAAGGTTCCCAAAGGGTACATGACTTGGCAATTTCCTTGCAAGGAAACCAACATATTTTCTCCGCGACCTGGATTCTTTTCGTTCTTGAATTTTTTTCTTTCCCTAAAGAAAAGAAAATGTCTTATTCCCCATATCCCTACCCCGTTCCCCATGTTTCAGACAAGGGTCCCGCATGGGGACCTTCAGGAAAGATGCCGCGGGCTGGCCAGTATTGCTACGAGGCATTGCAGGTGGATGCCGAGGAGGCAGCAGTCCTTATGCTTAGGAAAGGGGGACACCGGGAAGGATTGGAAATAGGAAGGAATTGCCGAGAAGGGTAGGAACGTATGCGAGCGCGCTGTCGCATTTTAGTTCAAGCCTGAGCCTAAGTTTGTGATTGGCCTCTTGTGTTGCTCTCTAATGGCTGATATCCTCTGATGCCTATGCGGTTGCGTTTCTGCTTTGGGTCACACGGCAGGTGGCACGGTACGAGACAGGTCAGCATTTCCTGGCTCATGAGGATGGTTTCCCACCTCATCTGGCAGCATCCAACGGCTTTCAGCGGCATGCTACGTTGTTAGTCTATCTCAACGACGTGCCGCGCGGTGGCGCCACGCGGTTTGACTATTTGGGCCTGGCGGTGCAGCCGGTCAAAGGCAAGGCGCTGCTGTTCTTTCCCGCCTTTTCGGATGGCAGTTCGGATGTCAGGTGCGTAGCGATTACAAATAGAAGACGTAACATGAGGCATAACCTAAGGCCTGATTTCCTGTCTTGCGTTGACGTCCAAAAATTTCACAGAAAGCTGTTGTCGGCAGGAGGAAAATTGCGCATCTTGGTTATAACGCCTTTGCTCCTGTTTACAGGTCGCTTCACACAGCCGAAGATGCGATCGACACCAAGTACGCAACACAGCAATGGGTTGCAAGAGGTTTGCAGAAATCTGTGGCAGCGACAACGAAGCCGCTAGCTGTTACTGCTCCTGCCGTTACTACCGTCAGCAATGGTGGTGCGCCAATTTCTGTGGTATCAATGCAACGGCCACAAAGTGGTATTTCTGCGCGGGAGTCAGATCTGGAGCTGCGGGAGCGCTCCGGTCGTCAAGGGAAGGGTGGCAAGGGCGCGGCAAAAGGCGCAAAGGGGTTCGGAAGCAAATCGGGCAAATAGGCGCTTCTCAATGTATTATTCTTGTTGGGGAGTTCCGTTGTGACGCTTATGCGCTGATTGCTAAGTTTCGTCATTTACTCTTAGGCGTAAGAATCCCTTACGTGAAACGAACTGTGAACCGTTGACGCTTTCACGCCGTCAAGAACGTGTTGGCGAGAGCTAGATTTCAATGTTCAGTTCATTTTCGCTGACGTCTGGTACTGCGATCCGGAACTTTTTGATATTTTTTCGACTCATTAATTATCTGTCGTGTAAATGAAAGCATCAGGTTCGGGGACCTTCTATGGCTGACTGAAACATCTCAAGCCCCCTTGGACACTGTAATTGAAAGCTTTCCGTGAGTGCTGAACACACCCCTGGCCATGCAGACGCCAATTTCGCACAGACTTCATCTTTTCAGGCTTTGCTGCATCTGGGTTACGTTAGGATAGCGCCCTAGCGGCAGGTGACCCATGGGTCAGAGCATCACCTGAAGGGCCCGCGCTTCAGGCGCCGCCCGACTCTCGTCCCTCGGCATAAGGTATTCGATGCCGTTGACACATCCTACCCCTATCCAAACATATAAACTTACCTAAGTCGTTCGGCAGTTTGGCAGGGTTTGCTTGTTGTTGGAGGATTGTATTTGCCTGGCCCTTGCTAATTTCCTTGTTTTTCCGCAAACCACTGGCTTTGTCGGCAAATGGGAATACGGTTACAGTTCTTGCTTTAATATCACCCCGTTTCAACTACTGCGTGAAGAGAGGTACCTGGGGACAGTGCTTGAGAAGTTTTGACTCCGCCGAAAAGGTGCGGGTAAAGATGTGTGTTGCCTTGCATGTAAATCAACAGGTGAATTCGAGGCCATGTAGACCCTGTGTGCGCTTCGCAAGTGAATTTTTGAACATTACCCCTTCCATAGAGGCAACTGACCTTGAACGCAGCTTCGGCTACTTGCTCCAATTTATGGCATGAAGATTATCTAAGATCTAAGCTAACGCATGTATTGCTCCTTCGTAAAGCGCATTGATCTCCCGTCCTGCTCCGGCCGTTAGTGAACCTTGTCTTCCCTGTTACATGTAAAACTTTTCCCGCCTACAGGGCTTGCTTGCGTTGCTTGACAGCTTTTTGAGCTCTTCGTTCGTTCTTGGCTGTGGTGCCCTGCGGGAAATTTTCTACACGACACCAAGCTGTTGCCTTTTCCTCTCCTGGTCAGCTCCTCAAAAATCACAGCCCTTGCAGCGCACTTAATAGCAGGAAAGCCTCAAATAAGATAATAGGCACTAGAGTTTTATGCATTCTTTCTAACGCGACACAAGTAACGCAAAGGGCCGATTCGGTCTGCGAAGCGTTTGGCTCGTCGCGCGCGCAGGACCGCGTGGGCGGTCGGGCGCGCGCCTTCAGGCAGCAGCACTCCGCCTCCATGTCCTCATCCTCACATGGCCTTCTTGGGCAATCTTCTCAACTCCAGCAGCCTCATCAATACAACAACCAACAGCCCCAGGCCCAGCCGCAGCGCACGGGGCCCTACGCCATTGACATCAGAGACGAGGATATGGACGAGGGTGCCCCATCCGCAGAACACCCGCGAGTACGAAGCAGTCCTAGTCCCGTGGCCGCGGCGGCGGCGCCAGCGGCGGCGGTGCAAGCAGTGCTGAATGTGCAAGGAAGCTCGACGGCTGCCGCTGGAGCCGCGGGCCGCCTCCGCCGCGGCGGCGGCGGCGGCGGCGGCGGCGCTGTCTCCGGCGACTGGTCCGAAACGGCCGAGGACGCGACGTCCGCGTCGGCGGCGTCGGCGTCACAGTCTCATTTGGCGCAGCCGCCGCAGACGCACCGCCGTACGAATGTCGTCAACCATGTTCGCCGAGGCGCCGCCGAGCCGCCGGCGGTTCATTTGGCGGCGCCGTTGCCAACATATCCTCCACTTTCGCACCCGCACTCGCTGCCATTGCATCAGGAGCAGGAGCAACAGAATTACCATCAACATCGCCATACCCGGCAGCACCAACAACACATGCTGCACCTTCAGCAGCCACAGCAGCATCAGCAGCCACAGCAGCATCAGCAGCCACAGCAGCCGCAGCAGCATCAACAGCATCAACAGCAGCAGCAGCAGCCGCAGTTACAAGCACAGACGCCACCTCAACAGCAGGGAAACGGCCAACCGTTTCAGCGGTTACCTCAACCGTCACGGGAGCGGCGGTCCGGCAGTAGCCGTCGGCAAAGCGGCGGCTGCGCTGCTGGCGGTAGCGGAAGCGCAAGCGGCAGCAGCGGTGGCACGGCAATGGTCGCTAGCGGCGGTGGCGGCGGCGGCGGCAGCGGCGGCGACCGGAGATGTACGGATTGGGAGCCTGGGATTGCGGCAGGGGCTTCCGCGACGGCGGCGGCAGGCGCCACCGCTGCTGCTGCGGTGGAGTTCAAATCGTTGAGTGCGCTTGACTTTGTACGATTAAAACAAGAGGACGGCGAAAAGGGGAGGGGCATGGATGTTCGAAGGGGAAGCGGCGGTAACGTTGTGCCGCCAGGCATGCACCAGAGCAATCAACGCCGTACACAGCACGCCGTGAGCCCACACCACCCGCAGCAATCGCAGCAGGAGCAGTACTACCACCAACACATGTACCACTGCCACGGTGGCATGTCGTACAGTTCGCCGTCGCCGTACGGCAGCGCGTCTCCGCCATCAGCGGTGGCTGTTCCTGACGGCGGATGCGGCTGCAGCGGTGGAAGCGGCGGCAGCAGCTCGCAGTACCAAGTGCCGCGGCCGCATCTCCAGCATCAGCAGCTGCTGTACACAACGTTGACGCCGCCGCAGCAGCCGCCACCGCAGCAACAACACCAACACCAACACCAACAGCAATATCAGCAGCAGCAGCAGCAGCAGCAGCAGCAACAACAACAACAACAACAACAACAACAGCACTTAATGCCTCCTGAAAACACCCAACACCACCAGCAGCAGCAGCAGCAGCAGCAAGCGCAACACCACCATTACCACCACCACCAGCCTCAGCACCAGACCTACCATCATGCCCTAAAACCTAATCATCAGATAGAGACGTCGCCACAAAGTCGCGGAGTTGCCTCAGCACTAGTGCTGCTCAACCAACCGCAACAGGGAGTGACCTTGCCGATATCAGGGTTTATGACCGGCGGGCATGACGGCGGCGGTGGCGGAGGCGGTGGCGGAGGCGGAGGCGGCAGCTTGGTCCGCATTGGCAGCGGCGGCGGCGGCGGCGGCGGCAGCATGCCGCCACTGCAACTACCGGCATCGGCTGCGCTTCCGCTTCCGCCGCCGCCGCCGCTGCTGGCGCACCCCCACCCCCCCCACCCCTCCCTCGATATGGCGCCAGCTCCCAAACCTCCTCCGGTGCCGCCGGAGGTGCACCAGGTAGCTTGGGTTTTAGTTCAGTTTTAGTTCAGTTTTAGTTCAGTTTTAGTTCAGTTTTAGTTCAGTTTTAGTTCAGTTTACGTGGAAGTATTGGTAGGTCTTTTAGTCTAGACTTTTAGGGTTCCTTAACTGAGCCTTTTCTACTCCTTCGGCAACTGCTGCCGCTACTGCTGCAACCGCTACTGCTGCTGCTACTGCTGTTGCTGCTGCTACTGCTACTGCTGCTACTGCTACTGCTGCTGCTCCGTGTCATGGATTTAAGGACCACTCATGTCACTCCTGGGCTTCCCCCGTGAGCGCACGAACCATGGTGGGTTTCACCCCCTCACCCCCGCCCTTACTCGTTCGTGGTTCGTCTTACCCCCTCACCCCCCCCCAGGACATGTGCGAGCGCTTCATGACGGCGCTGGCGGCGCTGATGGGTCGCAGCGCCCGGCGTGCACCGACGCTGACGGTGGGCGGCATGACGTTGGCTCTGGACCTGAAGACTCGGCGCGGGCCCATCGGCACCAGTTCGAAGTAAGAATGAGAGAGGTGATTATCTATTTAGTTGCATTATTTTGTAAGATCCTGAATCAGTCGCTTTTTCTGTGGTGCTTTTATTACACTTCTTCTCATGTACCTCGTTTGAGTAAGCAAAAAAGTGCTCTTTTTTGCATCTTTTGGCGGTTGGGACAACTGTTTGGTAGTTGCAATGGCAGTCGGGACGGACTGCGTGGTTGTTGCAATTGGAAACGGAAAGAAGGCTAAGAGGGTGGTTGGGCCGAAGTACGGAAATGGCCTCGGGGGGTTATTGTATCAATGGCCGTCGTATTTGTCCCCCTCTCATGCTCCCTCCGCCCCCTCCGCGCGTATGCTCCTTCTAACCCCGCACTAGCCCCTTCCTCGCCACCGTTCCCCCCTTTCCGGGATCCTCTGCCGTCGCCACCGCCGCCAACAACAACAACAACTCCACCGCTGCGCGACTTAACGAAAACCCATCGTACTCAACTGCCGTACCAACGACGACACCAACGGCGTCGGACAATACCGGCCGTACATCTGTTCCTGATGGCGGCGGTGGCACGGCCTCCGGCTCTATCGCCGGCGGCGCCGCCGCCACCGAACCGTCCGCCTCGCCGCCTACCGCCGCCGCACCAAGGTATCGTGGCGTGACACGGCACCGTCGTACTAAGCGGTGGGAGGCCCATATCTGGGAGGAGCGACGGCAGGTGTACCTGGGTGGTTTTGAGGTGGGTTTGAATGAAATCCAGGTTGCCGTACCTGGTACGGCGACATGGAATTAGCTTGCCATATAGATCGGCACGGCAGGCATATCTGGATTTGACGCCAGACATGTTGCGTCCCGCCGCGTACCATGCGCTTTCGGTCAGTTAGTTGCTTTGGTCGTTAGTACCCTCTCCCACGTGATTTGTCTTTGTGTTAAGTGCGAGGTAGGAGGGTTCTTGCAGGGGCGATCTGGCAGCCCTTGAGCCCTCGGCTCGTGTTGGCCGGGTTGCTGGTGGTGAGGGGGGATACGCCACCCCATGACCATGTGTGTTCCATCACACACACACACACACACACACACACACACACACACACACCAAAAATGCTAATGTTAATAAGGACAAGTGATCCACCGACGAACATCCCTCCGTTGTTTTCTGCGGGTTCCAGGTTTTAATCTTATTGCCTAAATGGGGACTTAAGCTGTCTCAAAGCCAACCCTAAAACCTATAAAACCACTTTAATTGTATTGTGGTTACAGTATTTCCGCCGCCGACGCGGCGGGTGCCCTCACGAGCCGTGAGGCTCCAGAGCACGCTGTTGACGCTCATCGAAAACCTCAGTAAGGAAAGTAGCGATTTTCCTCGGATTGGTATTAAGAAATACCTTGCGCATATCAGTGTCTTCAACGTTCATCAGAAACCTATTACGCAACTCAGTATACGCCTCACACTCCATAAGCACATGATATTCATCCTCAACCTTACCCGACGTACAGACCTGACACGTACGGCACTCTCTCGGCCTATGGTGCCCTTTGTTGACCTCCAAAGGCCAACAACAAAGACGGAATTTGGCAACCATACGCAACTGGTTGACCGGCAAATAAACACGCAAATAGCCTGTGGGATCAGAGCCCTCTTTTGCAGGTGAAGGGGAGCCCATCCAGTTATGATACCTGCAAAGCGAAACCCCTTTACCTTGGAACACACGCGGATCACCCCCTTGGCTGAACTGATCCCAGTCACTTAAAAGGAACGCAGAAAACTTCTCCAGAACCTCACCCACTCGAATCAACTGAGACGAGTACACAAAGTTTGAAAAAAAATAAAGTCAAAATCGGGAAGGTGCGTCATGCTTGCAGGCTTTTTTTCCTTCTTATGTGCTCCTCCTGTTCACTTTGCCCGCATTGTCTTCCCAAAATGGAATCCTTTCTTTTCGGACCACTTCTAGACCTGGAAATCCCTAACCGATCCCTACCTCAATTAATCCGCATATATCAACAAATTTAGGTCGAGGAGCATGCTGCCAAGGCGCACGACGTTATGGCGATACGATGTCGGGGAACCGATACCGTACTCAACTACGTGTCGGACACGTACTCCGAGCTCATGCCGCTCATTCTGCCGTACAATGGTCGCCGGCCACTGCACCGGGTGCGTGATCGCTTTTTTTTCTGCGACCCGTGGGTCGTTCGGGCCGGTTTAAACCAATTTTCCCAGCAGCTTGTGTCGGGATAAGAATTCTAATCGGGTCAGCCGATCGACATTTGAATCGGGATCAGTATCAGCTCAGCATGGCTGAGTGTTTGTCTGTAAATATGTGTGATGGTTGACGGGGCGGGGGTTGGTTAGGGAGGAGAGGTGAGACGGGGTGTGTGAGAGGGTTGTTGGGGAGGCGGGGAAAGTGTACGGCATCATCACAGAGGGTGGCAGTGTGTTCTTTCTTTCTCTCCTTTGCGTCAATTCAATTCCCCCCATTGGTGGATTCATTCAAAAATTATGCTGGTGGCGGTGCTGGTGGTGGTGAAGACGAGGAGGAGGAGGAGGAGGAGGGGGATGTCGGTCGGTGGTGTGTGTATTCCTGTACGATTAGCTCAACACTAACCCCCGCTACCCCGCGGCCGGTTCGCGTAGCGTTGGTCGTACAGCCTATTAACGACCACCAACTCCGAATCCCGAGGGGGCGAATTCCCACTCCACACTCCGCACAACTTATGCCGTTGTTTGGCCGTTTGATGGTTGTGTTGTGTTGTGTTGTGTTGTGTTGTGTTGTGTTGTGTTGTGTTGTGTTGTGTTGTGTTGTGTTGTGTTGTGTTGTGTTGTGTTGTGTTGTGTTGTGTTGTGTTGTGTTGTGTTGTGTTGTGTTGTGTTGTGTTGCCGGCCAACCCCTCCTCGTCCGAGACCCCATTCCTCCCCCCCGTCGTGATGATCGTAGAACGAAGTTGTACGGCTGCTCCGAAGTCACGGAAAGGAAGCCACGCGGCAAACACACGCAGCCGGGCGCTACCCGGGTCGCACCATGCTGGCCGAGTCCCCCCCGGAGCCTCCCGTGACCATCTTCGGCGACGACGAGTGCGACTTGTACGGCATGATGCCGGGTACGAACAAGCCTGGCAGCACGGGCGGCGGTCCGATTGGCAGTAGCGGAATGGTCGGTGTTGGCAGCCGCAGCGGCGGCGTTGGTACGGCAGGTGTGTATGTATGTGCGTGGTGGTTGGGGTGGGGGGAGGGGAAGAGAGTACGGCGGAACAGAAGTGTGGTCTTTGGTAATAATAGTCGTCCGTACATGTGCCGTATCTCGCACGATACGACACGAGCAATAGGCAATAAGCTGCTCGAGGCAGCTGTCTGAATGAGTCGACTCAATGTGTTGATGAGTGGATGGGTCGATTGGGTTGGGACGGACTGGGCCTGGTCGAGCAAGACCTGACCCATCGGACACAACATTAGACGAGCTGGTTCACGGGTCTCGACATTCGCATTATGAACTGATCTTTACTTCGCGCCGTGGCTGTGGTGTTTTGTGGGTACGGCAATAGGCGCCAGCGGCGGCGGCGGCGGGGCGCTACCGTGGCAATGCTCACCCGGCGGCAGCGGCGGCGGTGGTGGTGGTGGCGGCGGCGGCGGCGGGGGTGGATCGTCATCATGGGGCTATCGAGGCACCGGCGGCGTGTCGCCGCCGCTGACGGTTCCGCCGCTGCCTCCGTCGAACATATCGACGTACGGCCCCGCCGCCGCTGCCGGTGACAGGCAGCCGTTGAGCCCTGGCGCGGCGGCGGTGTACGATGGGAGCGGTTGGTCGCATTCGGACTTGCTGGGTTGTGGCGGCGGCGGCGGCGGCGGCGGGTTCTGGAGCGGCAGCGGCGGCCTGCCGTACATGGTCGATTGTATAGATCCAATGGTGCATGAGGTAAGCTTAACATGTACGATAGAAGCGCCGTACGCCGAGCGCTAATGGTCCCTAAGAATATGGCATTCCTGGCTTTAGCATTGCTCTCCCGTTGTCGAAAGAAGTGCCGAGACTTTCCCCCCGTGCACAGCGCACGCAGGAGAGCCAACGGGAACAACAGGTTCACCACAACACCAATATTTTTTTCACGCGCATTTCGCAGTAACGCTTAGGCGCGGTTCGTAGAGGAGGGCTTCTGTTCGTTGAGGGTGGGGTGTCTCGTACATCTTTTCCAATGCGCTCGCAGTAACAAGTAAAGCAATCGCGCGCCCGCCTCGCGCCAACGTGTTTTGCTGCCACACTGCGAATGTTACTGCCGTACTGCCGTACGGTGCCGGTACGACAGAATCAGGATTTGCTGGATTTGGAGTATAAGCAATCCTTGCACGATATGATGCGCTTGCAGCAGCAACAGCAGCAGCAGCAACCACAACAACCGCCACAACCACCAGCGGAGCAACGAGAACAACGGCCCCTGTCGGGGTCACTGGGTTGGGACAGCACGCCGAGGCAGTCGTCCGCCGCCACAGCTGCCGCCGCTGCCGCCGGAGCTTCGGGTGTCGTACACCGGATGCCGTCGGGCGACGTCGCGGATCGCGGCGGCGGCGTCATCACCCCTGGCGCCATCCAGGAGGGCGCCTCCGCCCAGGAGTCGTGTCTAGTGTACGACACTGTACATCCGTACGGCGGCTGTACGGATCATACGGGGTTGTACAGCATGGATGCATCGCATTCCGCATTCCGCCACGAGGGCTCCGCCTTGGGTCCGGTAGTTGTCGGGTATCAAGGGGTACCGGCGGCGGCGGCGGCGGCGGCGGCTGGCGGCGTCCGGCACGGCGGCAACGTCGGCGATGGCGGCAGCGCTCCTGCTGCCGCTCCACCCGCACCCTCGCCTTCACGGGGTGAGTCCTGGTGTCGTGGTGTGGTGGGTTTATTGGTGGGTTGTGTGGAGCCCCCGTGCGGCGGAGGCGGTGTTTGGAATGGTGCGTTTCGTTCCGGCGTCAGCATTTTTGATCTTGGTCCCCCGTCCTCCGCAAGGTGACTTTTTTTTGTTTTGTTTGCATTCCGCCGCGAAATCACTCCGCGAGAAGCCATTATGTAATGCCATGATGTGATGCATCCAGGTGGCATCCAGTATCGGAACAAGTCGACATAGCAGTGTAGCAGTAGCAGTGCAGCAGTAGCAGTGCAGCAGTGCAGCAGTAACAATGTAGCAGTAGCAGTGTAGCAGTGCAGCAGTAGCAGTGTAGCAGTAGCAGTGTAGCAGTAGCAGTGCAGCAGTAGCAGTAGCAGTGTAGAACTGCAGCAGTAGCAGTGTAGCAGTAGCAGTGTAGAACTGCAGCAGTAGCAGTGTAGCAGTAGCAGTGTAGCCAATGACCGAAGTGCCGCATTAGGACTGGCGGAGGAGAGCCCTTGATCGTCGAGGTTGTTGGTCGTCCAGGTCGTTGATCGTCGAGGTTGTTGGTCGTCCAGGTCGTTGATCGTCGAGGTTGTTGGTCGTCCAGGTCGTTGATCGTCGAGGTTGTTGGTCGTCCAGGTCGTTGCCGACGTGAAGATCTCACCTCCCAAGTGTTGTCCTCTTGCCAAACCTGCAGTCGATGGTCGCGGTACGAGCGGCGGGCCACCTCTGAGCCATCACCATTACCCACAACAACATCACCAGCACCTGACTCAGCGTACTTCACAGCCGCCGCAGCCGCAGCAGCCGCCGCAGCAGCCTGCCCCGCAGCAGCAGCAGCAGCAGCAGCCGCAGCAGCAAACGCTTCCAAGCGGGGTTCGCAGCGGCAGCGGACTCTCCACCCCGGGCCCCTCCGGGTCCACGCGCCCGCAAGCCGTTGGCGATAACTTTCCGCCGTACGCGCCCGTACAATGTCCGTACAACGATTCAGTGGTGCAGGAACACCGTACAGCCCAGCATCATGCACAGAGTCGGGGCGCCAGCGGCGGCTACGGCCAATTCCCGCCGCAGACGCCGGTTAGCCGGATGCTACAGCCGCGACCCACGGGTGATCCCTCTTGTACGGCTAGCGCCGCCGCATCGCCGCCGCAGCCACAACCGCCAGATGACCCGTTCCGGCCGTTGGGACTAACCGGGAGTCGCATGAGCTTCAACGGTCAACTGAACGTGGTACGGCAATCGAGCGACAGTGGCGTACTGCAAAGCTATCACTCCGCGCCGGCCGCTCAGCTGAATGGCGCTGCCGCCGCCGCCGCTGCTACTGCCGCTGGCGCCGCCACAGATGCCGCCGCAAGGGGGGATGCCGTACACTTCGCAGGCGCCGTGCCTGGGCTCGGCGGCTTCAGCAGCGGCGGCGGCGGTGATGGTGACGGGGACGGTGACCGCTTCATGCGCGGCGGGCACTGCACTGGTGGCAGCGGCGCGCACGATGACGGCGGCGGAGGTAGACTTGTACGGCGGGCATTGAGCCGCAGCGACGGTGGTGTGGCGGGACACTGGGACATGAGGCCCACGGGTCGCAACGCTGAAGCAGAACAGTATCTCCGCACCTATCACCCGCTACAGCTTCACCAGCAACAACAGCAGCTGTCGGCATATTCGGCGCAGCCGCTGCAGCAGCAGCAGCCGCCGCCGCCGCCACTGCCCGGGGACGTGGCTCGGGATTCCTGGCCGATGCCTTGGCGATCCACAAGCGATGTCCTGCAGCAAGCCGGACTGGTGGCAGCTGTAGCAGAAGGCGGCGCCGCCGCCGCTGCCGCGGGCAAGGAAGGTAGAGGTGGCGGCGGCGGCGGCGGCGATGGTATGACGGATGTCAAGCGATTGCAACCTGAGTGGACGTATCCACTGAGGCCTTTGACGGCGGTTGCCGACGAAGACGGTCAACGCCGCGGCCCTGGCGGCGGCGGCGGTGACGGTGTTGGCGGCGCCGCCGCCACCTCCCAGCCGCCCTGGGCTGATTGGGGCCCCGGCGAGGTTTTTGGCAGGGCTGCGACGGGAGCGAATTTGTCGTACAACTATTACGGCGGTCTGACGGCGCTCGCGGGGCTGGCGGGTGCTGGTGCCGCCACCGTCGCGGCGGTGGCGGCGGGTGACGCCCGTGAGCTTTCCTCCTTTCCCCCTCATCTGCCGATACCGTCAGACGAGAGTGTTGCAGCGGCGGAGGCTTGGCTGGCACAACAGGAGGCGCTATGTACGGAAATGGAGCGGTATGACCACGCCACGACCGAACAGACAATGCAAGGGCTGCCGTACGATGCTGCCGCTGTTGCTGCTGCCGGTGGCAACGCCAGCGGCGTCGTCGTTGTCAGCGGTGAATGCGACAGCCCAGCTGGCACGGTTCTGGTGCCGTACGACGCGTCTGCTGCGCCGCAACAGGCGCATTGGGATGCAGTATTGGCGGCGGCAACGTCGTACGACACGTCGCTCCGTCGATCTGGTATCCCGGGAGCCGGGGATGGGGCGCAGCTGGTCGGGTACAAAGCCAGCAAAGGCGGCAGTGGCGACGACGGTGATGGTGGCGGCGGCGGCGGCGGCGGCGGTGACGTCTACCACGCTTTAGCAGAGCAAAACACAAACGCAACTCAGCATCGCCAGGCTCCGCAGCCCCAGCCGCCGCTAGAGATCCAGTTTGCCGCCGCCGCGGCTGGTCAATCGTTCGGCAACCAGCTGCCGTACCTCAGTGGGCCCGATCATTGCGGCGGCGGCACCGCCGCCGCCCCAACTACCATTACCAATACAGGCCATGCGAATACAGGCCAGCCGGCGGCGGCGGCGGCCATGCAACAGCCAGTTCAAACTATTGACTCCACTGGTGCGCTACAGCCGCAGCTGAACGCTGTCCACGCCTCTGGTGGCGGCATCGTACTTTGGTCGCCTCTTCCTGGGACAGGGCTTTCTGTGAATGTTGCCACGCCGCCTACGCGAGTCCGCTGCAGGGAGGGCAGCGCCGGCGGCAGTACGGCAGGTGGCGCCAACGGCGTACAACACGACGGAGGCGGTGACGGAACGGTCAATGCGATTGGAGTGGCGGGGGTGGGAGCAGTGGTGGGAGCCGCTGGCGGCGGCAGTGGCGGCCCTGGCGGCGGCGGCGGGGAAGTATGCAGTACAGGACTCCTCCCCGGCGTTGCCCTCGCCGGTGCTAGTGGAGAAGACAATTGTGGATTCAACGTCGAGGAGCCCCGGCGGAAGCGCCAGGCGCTGGATTTGTTGTCGCTGACCTTGGCGGCGCCGCTACCTTCGCCGCCGCCGCCGCCGCCGCTCTTCCAGCACGACCTTTTGGCGCCAGTGAAGGAGTTTCGTACATCTTCCGAAGGCAGCACACACAGCACGGTGCCCTCGGCTGTCGTATCTGTCGTACATGCCGTGCAAGAGGTTCCGCTGGCTGACGGCGGGGACGGCGGCGGCGACGGCGGCGGTAGTAGCAACGGTGGCGTTGCGGCGGGTTTTATCATGGGCACAGTGACAACGGCCGCGCCGACGGGCCCTTTCGTTGGTAGTTTCCACCAACCGCCAACCGTCACGTCCGAGACGGCAGTGCCGGGGCCTCGTACGGACGTCGCACGGTAACCAACCCAACCACAAGCTAAACAAATCGATCTGTGCAGATGTCGGTTGCTGTACGATGATACGGTAGGAAAGAGAGAGACCAGGAAAATGTGGGGTGACGCAGCACAACGGCATAGGTACGGGCGCACGATGTACGAGTAGTGTGGTACGGAGCCCGTTGGTTTATTCCCACATTTACGGCCTTAGGCTTTGAGGAAGAATACGCCCGGAGCCGAAGGTTTTACGGTAAAATTCTAAAGCTGGGAAAGCTGTTTAGCAAAGCCTTTTAGGAAATCCATTGTTTGTTACTTAGTTGAAAATCCCAAATCCAATATCGCGCAGTCGGCCACTTACGAAGCGCAGGGCACAGCGTTAACCTCGACAATAGTCTTCAGTCCGTCCTAACCGGCGAAGCGGACTCGGTAGGGAGCCGCTCGTCGTGCTTTAGATGATTCACGTATTTGCTTGTACGAAAACCGTTGGGACGGAGATTATGAAGACGTAGGGAGAATTTTGTACGGCACTGTACTGCAAGAGATCGCGTAACCGGCGTGGTGATGTGTGTTGCTAGCTGCAAATGGATGTTTATCGGCGACAGTCATTGCGCTATTGTCGCGATAAATGAAGCAGACGTACGGAGTGGAAGGTGTACGGAGTGGAAGAGAACGATGATGAAAAAATTACGGCGCATGTGTGGCGGGACTGCATCGCACATTGGATCTCAAACAGGAAAATAAAAATCCGCGTGAGCTGACCGAGGAAAGGGAGATGTAGGAGGGGGGGAGAGGGAGGGGGAGAGAGACGCACAAGCAGCGCAATCTAACAGGCACCATCATCATCACCATTAAGAGACAATTTGGCAGAAGAAGAAGATGAAGAAGAAGGAAAAGAAGAGCGACTGGTGCGGGCAATGGCTGGTGGTGTAGCATGGCAGGGCCTATCATCCAGGCCCTATCTACTGTGCAGTCCTCCGCGGGAGGGAGCTGGCAGTCCTCCCCCCTTCCTCCGAGTAGTTGTTCTTCAATGGATTTGGTGGTTAGAGAGGTACCACCCCGGGAGGGAGGGTGGAAATGTCTGGGCGCTCGGGGGGGGGAGGAGGAGGAGAGGACAGAACCACGAGGTCGGGAGACCAGTCTCGGGGAAAAAAGCCCTTCGGCTCAGACATGTGCTTAACTTGTTTTCTTCAACAGCGCAAGTAACGTAGATGTATTTATGCCTGGTGCATGGATTCAGTTATAAGCGGATTTTCCGAATTGAAGTTTGATTTGCCAAAAGTGCATCCGTTAGTACTCGAGTGCGTGACGTTTTGACTGTTGCGTGCTCTGTTTGCGGCGTCACAGCGATGATGTTTTGTGTGAAGGAAATAGGAGTTGAAGATCGACGGACGGTTGGAAGTCGGGTTGTTGTTGTTACTGTTGCGAGTAGAGTTTTTTGGTAGCATACGTAGAGAATTGTATGCGCCTCTGTAAATTGTTTTCTTTTCTGTCCGCCGATGTGTGGCCACCACCGGATTGGTGGGAGGGTAGTGAAAAGGGAAACAGGGCGGAATTGCGCGCCATGTACGCTCCATATACGGGTACACATCTTACACGTACGATATCGTACGTGTACGACAAGTTGACATACTCGAGATACGTGCACCGGCATCATATGATGGCAGTGGCACGGTGTTCCCGTTCTCTGTTATGATGTGCTTTATGCGACGTGTGCGCGTGTGTCTCTATACCGCCAAAAGACCTTCTTTAATGATGCGTTAATGAGATTATGGGTTGTTATGAGGTTACGCACGATGATTTGATGTCCGTAACACCTGCCCTGTTTAAACGTTGCGATGCTCCTCTACTATAAATCATGAGAGTTGCGTTTGTGCATAATTATAGTTCTCGTCAATGGCTGGGCAGAGAGTAGCTATAGGTTTGGTTTCGGACCAGGTATGTATGTATGTATGTACGTACATTTGTCGGCGTTATTGTGGGACGATGACGATAAGGGCCCTGTCCTAGCGACCCGGCCTCGGTCCCTCTTGTACGGCACCGTTTATCATATGCGGCATTCGCGGCGGAAGGACACAGCGACTACCGGACATTGGTAGTTGCGGCGGCGCTGACAGAGGACGTAGAGACCTTCCCTGAGTTGGCAGTCCGACGTCGCGGCTTGTTGTCGGAAAGGGAAAGCAAATGCGCCAAATCCGTGCAACAACATACAAATCGGATTTTGGTTAGCGGCTGTTGTATCTGGCCCGCTGCTGGGGAGGGTGCTGAAGCCGCCACTCATGCGCTCTCAGAGAGCCGTCCTTTTCACCGTTCTGGCATGCGCCGTACATACAGTATAGGTCGTACGCTACTGTAGGCCGTACATTATCGGACATGTGCAAGCTTCTCCTTTCCTGCATGTACTTTCTTCTTTCTTTTCCACAAACTTGCATACTGTCGTACAACGCCGATACATCCTGAAGAGGGGATGGTCGTCCGGGGAAAGATAACAGTGTTTTTGTAGTCTGTCTGTAAGGCTGTCCGTGCGAGACGACAAGGAAAAGGTGAAACAAAGAAGCGGTTTTTATGTCATAATAACAACAATTGATGGCAGTGATGGAATGTGCCGGTCGACGACGTGCTTTCTTAGGCTTTGCTATGGTGGGAATTGCGTTAAGTGCATGAGGCTGCTAATAGGTGAGCAACCGTCCTCGCCCCCTTATAGGTCTGTATAATACGTGTCGAGTTTGCGAGCTGACGAAAAAAGCGCTATGGCAAAGCGCGTCGTTGTTCGTTCCTTTTCCCCCAATCTCTTTTCTATTTCCCTCGTGTCGAAGGTCTGTTCGTTGATATAGTACCCGCAACTTCATTTTGTCGCGTTGCGTGGTGGCGCAAAACCTCCGCCGCGCAAAGCCCCCCGGGTAACCCCGGCGATAGCACAGCAGATAGTGGCCGTGCAAATTGTGGATGTTGCCTGCTCTCGCTTCAGACGAAGCGCATAATTGATTAATAATTTTTCAAATGGAACATTTTTAATGAATGCGACGTTCATGTCCATGCGTGTATGAATGGAGCGTGTGCACCGCCGTACTGGCTGTTGTAAGTCGTATCACCGCCGTATATGTTTTCAACGTATGCTGACGAAATACGAGCTTTCCCCGGCAGATCACAACCACCTTCTGGACCTCCGGGAGTCACGCGCCATCATAACCCCCGACCTGCAGGACGCCGCCTCACAGGCGCGACCAACCATAAGCAACGATAGAATGAAGATTGTAAAAGAAGGTACAAATACTTGCTGCCTGAGAGCGGACATGCAGAGCTGGCAATAGCAGGAGCTTTTCGTTGTAGCAGGCGCCTCAACCCCAAACACACCCTCGAGGCCGTTTCTGTAGATTGGAGCTCGGGTCGTTGGTCCAGACTGCCATATTTCCTTTGCCGTCCCACCTTTCTCAGCACCTGCACGTGCAGGGGGAAGGAGTTGAGCAGACGGATACACCTCACAGGCACAGACGGGCGCGGTCGACATCTTAGCGAACCAACCCCGTTTTTTGAGCCTGTTGCGGCCGTTCCGAAACACATAGATACACACGCACATTAGACACACGTATGCAACAGGTAGCAGGGTAGTACTTGGCGCTTTGCCTGCATCGTTATAAACATGGGTAGTACTCCCCCGGATACCCCTCCTGTCTGTGTAGTGGTCACAATAACGTTTCCTGTGCGGCAGCGTACCTCCTGTACAGGTGGTTGTGGTCGTTCCGCCTTCCCTTCCTTCCTCTCATGTCCACGACTGATGACCAGAACCTACCCAAGAGTCCAACCGCGGAATGTGGACTACACATGTATGCATGCATGTATGTATGCATGTATGCGTGAGTGTGTGTGTGAGCATATGCATATGTAGTGGCCGGGTGGAAGCTGTGAGGAGGGGAGGAGGTGTGTGTGTGGGGGGGGGGGAGAGGGACGACGAGTGGCGGAGATCTGCGGCGGGCTGCCGGGGATTATCCCTGCTGGTGCTGCTGCCGCCGCCGCTGCTCCTGCCGCTGCTGGTAATGGGTTACGCTGACGATGCAGCGGTTTCCAGGTGATGAACTGGCTGAGAGCCGTGGTTGGTGGAATCCTAACGCTGCTGCTATTGCCAGCGCTACTACTGCTCGTCGCCTGCATTGGTAATCCTGCTGCTGCCGCCATGGCTGGTTACGATGGCTGCTGCTGCAGCTGTTTTACAGCTGTGTCAACTGCTAGTGCTACTGATGCTGCCCCAAAAAGCATTAATAGCACTTCATGGTGGTTTGCAGCCCCCATGCAAGCCACTGCGGCGCCGATGTCGTTGCCCCGGTGTCGCACTGCCGCGCCCCGCAATGCATCAGCAACGCAACACATCAGGAAACGCTGCAACAGCCTCCAGGTGCGCAAAACCCCTCGCCGCCGCCACCGCCTTCACGTCCTCGAGGACCAGCAGCAGCAGCAGCAGTATGGGTTTCGGAGCGGGAGGCTTCCCCGGGCCCCAGTCCGGGAAGTCCCCTCCCTTTAACCCGCCTGTTGGTTTTCAGGAAGCGACGCATAGGTAGATTTACGTAGAGAGAGAGATGGCAGAAAGGGTATGATGAGTCTGTCTGTATGTCTGTATGTACGTACGTATGTGAGCATCGGGGTGCTGAGACGTCGACCTGGACAAACGCTGAAACCCCTCGTACAACCCAAACATGCAGGCATACGGTGGCACATCTATCGCCCCCACCTGTTCCACACCACAACCACAGAGGGTAGCAGGTGGGAGGGCAGATGTCCGCTGGCGGGGTCCGCATCGCACTGCAGCAGCACCGGCATGAGCTGAGCAAGGGCGGGACGGGGGAAGACGAATGCCAGCAGGAAACAGAAGAACATTTGCCGACATCCAAATCACCTCGTCATTGCCGGAGTCCCCGGGTGAAGAAGGGGGAGGTGTGGCGTTTCTGTGTTTCGTGACGTGGAGTGGGGCTAAGGGGTGTGTGGATGAGTGAACGGCTGCACGGGCAAATGGCACGGGAAAGGCGGGGTGTGTGTGTGTGTGTGTGTGTGTGTGTGGTGCTGGGGGAGAAGTCGGGGGCTGCAGATGGAGGAATAGAGATGCGGATGGGAAGTCCCAAATCCCAAAACATGGCATAAAGGACATGGAGGGCTTCTTCACGGAGGGCACGAAGGGGTCCTTGCTGAGCGGCCGCAGCGCGATGCGCCTCGATGATGGTCGCTCGGGGTTAGGGATAGGGGACGTAGGGCATCCGGCGGCACATGCAAAGGCCTGAGCACGAGCAACAGATGGGGTTGGAGCTGGGAAGCTGGTGGCTGAGGTTGCGTGTCATTGCGCTGGATTTAATCCATAGGGCCGTGTTAGGGTACCGGAGGAACGGCATAAACAAGAGGACATCTACATGTCGTAAACCCACATGCACGCTTCTGGACTCCTTCCACCTGACCGTCGTAGCATCTTCTTCCATGTCTCCTCTTTTTTGTTTTTTTTGAGTGGCGTTTTGGGAGTGACGAGCAGACAAGCCCCCTCACAACATCGTGTTGTGAATTTAGCCGTGTTTTCTTCAAGTCTCAGCTCTTTATTCGGCCAGACGTCGCATCAAACGCAACACGCGCACACGGTGGGCGCCACCTATCCCTCCGTTACACACGAGAGCCCCCACCTCCTCAACACTGGGCGGGGAGCCCCCATTGAGGTCCGACAGCAGAGCTGCGACCTCCTCGGGGGTAAGCAGGCGGCCATTGGGTGGCAGGGAAGGGGTTACGGTGGCGCCGGGTGGCGAGCTTGGAGCTGCACCGCCAGCACGGGGCATGGCGGCGGAGGCAGATGGCGCCGTCGCCGTCGACGCAGCCCAGCCAGCACCACCTGCGAGAGGCTGCAAATCCTGCGGAAGGGCAGAGATGACAGGGCCGAGGACCTTGCGGAGAAGTCGGAGAGATGGCGCTGGTTGATAAGTTTGACTAGGATATTGGTATTTAAGGTATCTGGATTCCGTGGATTGCTGCCGGGGTGTGCTCACGAGTGTCCGGATGTGGAGGGTTGGGACTGTTAAAAGGTGGTAACATACAATGTTTTCAAGATGTTATTTGAGCACCCTGTTCGTACCTGCCCGATGTGGCGCTGCTGAGCCAGCCGTTGTTGGCGTCGTCGACGCCTTTCTGCTCGCTCCTCGGCCTCTCGCGCTAGGGCTGCTCGTTTGCGCTCGTGTACGCGGCCGATCGCCCCCAGAATGCCACCTTCCATGCGGGAGTGGTAGTCAACCCCAAGCTGCGGACTGTGAGAATTAGCCATCCTTAAACGGGGAGCAAATAAACAAAGCTCGTGATAACTTAGGTTACAACGTGGTCTAAAATTGACTATAAGGTAACATAGACGCGAGGGCCAGCCAAAAATGCAAATACGGTATGAACTGCAGCCCGCTTGGTCATAGAATGAGCCACTTGCAGGGAATGCGGTCAAAGTTCTTGTTGTTTCAATTCGCCGTATTGTACGGGAGCGTGAAATCCATGCGCATAGTGGTATCCACGCGCATATTGAGCAAAACGAGGGGAAAATGCATTATCACACCAAAGTACACTTGCACAGCGAGCTTGGAGTTAGTGAAACAAGCAAACTTCGTGACCCTAGAAAGCCATTTCACCCATCTGCGAAGTCTCACAGCCCAACCAATACTCACTCCATACTTCAATTACTACAATTAAAACAAAGTCCCAAATTGGCGTCCAAGGCAGACTCCACATTGCTTTACGAGTTAACGTAGCGTGCAACCAACGAAACCAAATACGCGAAAACATCTCCTTCCTGCACCACCTCCCGCCTCCCTTCAAGCCCTCTACTTACTAACACCGGATCCCACTTGCCGGCCGCTATTCGCCACTATGCCCTAAGCCTCAGCAAAGTTATTTTGCAACCTTTTCCCCTTCCCACCACCAAAATGGTGACCGTGCACCATTACTTACGTTTCAGCCCGCAGATTTGAACTATCGGCTAAATACAACTTCAATCACGCGTACTCTCTACTATGCCACACATACACACTCACGACCTCGCAGCCCCCAGTTCATAAATCTTCCCCCTTTCACCGCCTCGCCTCTCATCGCCTCGCATTCGTTGGCCACGTCTGTCACCGCCATGTTCTCACTCCCCTCCCCCATGCTTCCCCCCTCGCACAATCCCCAAGGACAAATTTCTTGCACTCGCCCAACGGACATACATACATACATACATACCGAAACAGCGGCAATAGGACCCTAAGCGGCGTGGCGGTTGTGGTTGCGGTGGTGACGGCGGTGACGGTGGAGGCAGACACACAAGCACACCACTGCGCTTTGCGAGGACCCCGGAAACAACAACCAACAAGGGAAGGAACGGAGGTTCACATACCCCCACCAACACATCACATAAGAACAGGAAATGTTCTTAATTGACAGAAAGAGGAGAGAACGAAAACCCTGGAGGCGGTGGGGTGTGGCGGGTGGGGTGTGGCGGGTGGGGTGTGGCGGGTGGGGTGTAGAAAAAGGCGGTCCTAAGCATCAGTGTGCTTCGAAGAACGTCACATGTCGACTAAACGGAGGAAGTCGTAACTCGGTGCGGGAGGTGCAGCCGTGTCCCTGAAGTCGCTACTCCTACTCGTGCCCTGACATGCCCTAACATTGCGACCCACCAAGGTATTCCCATGGTGCAAGTTATTCAAACGTACACACGAGCACATGCACATAATACATACACGCACATACATACACACAGGCAGGCGGCTGGCAGAGGTTAAGGCCTGACTTCTGCTCCCGGTCGACCCAGTCGACCCGGGTTCAAATCTGCCTGCCGGCTCCTCGGGTGTTTGAGGAGTGATGAAATGGGAGGTGGCCCCCCATCTTATGGACGGTGTAGGACGTGATAATATCAACTTGCGAGCTGACCAGGAACTAAGTTGATGCGCCGTTGATCCGCTAGATTTGGTTGGATGCTGGTGGTGAGTTGCCGAACCCAACGAATACATTCTGAAGTCGGATGGGGTGACGGATTAGGGTGCCCCTCTAGCAGGGGAGAGCAGGGACTGCCCCGGGAAAGGGGGCCGCTGGCGAAGTTAACCACCCTGTAACAACATACATACACACACAGGCCGCGGGGATGGAGAGGAGTCTTGTTTCGTGTTTCAGGCTCAGTGAACGCAAATTTGCGTGACGGAGCCTTGACTCATGAGAGCGTGCGCGCGTGCGACGCCCCCGGGGGGGGCCAGGAGAGCGGAACTAGCGGACCTGCGGCTCTCGGCTGCTTGGGAGGGGACGGAGGCCCCTTCGCGCCCCGCTCCCGTCCGCGGGGGAGAGAGCTGAGGCGGTCTTCCCGTTGGGGCTGGGCAGCAGTGTCCCTGGCCAGTGTCAGCCCCGGTCAGATACTTGGTGGTTCACATACACGCACACACAGACGGATTTCCTCCTCGCGGTTATCAGTTGATTGAAACACATACGTATATACAGACACACACACGCACATGCAACAAACAAGCAACCCCCCACACAATACAAACGTCATCATCATCATCATCATCATCACCAGCATCACCAGCATCATGCCCGCCAGGGACGTGAATCCCACCGGGCCCCCCATCAGACCTAGCCGCTATCAACACTGCGGCAAGGTACAGCCCCCAAAGTACAGCCCCCAAACCAACCTCCCCAATACACACACACAGAGACACACAGAGACACACACATACATGTGTACGTGCGCGCAAGGATACCGCCACTACAACCCCGCCAATCGTTTGGCTGCCGCCACTGCAGCTTCGGATTGTGTGGGCAATGTGGGGAGCATGTCCTCCTTCTTGGCCTTGGGCTTGCCGCGACCTTTGTCGCAGCTCGGCGGTGCGACGAAGCAAAGACGATTGATGAGAAGAAAAAAAACAGGGTGGAGGAGGAGGACGTGGTGGGAAATAGAAGAGAGAGAGAGGGGGTGAGAGATTGCGGGACAGGAGGAGGCATGCGGCAAGTGGGTAGTAGGAAAAAAGAGGGGAGGGAATTAGGGGGAGGGGTGTATATGTCGGGGCCTAGGGTCTGGGTAGGTCTGGGCGAATCGGCCCCGGTAAGGGCCCTTACGGCTGCACGGCAAGGGGGTCCTCACGCCATGAATCAACCAATGACACACACACGATCGCGACACACATTACAGTCCTCTCTTGACGCCGCACGTCCCCCTCCCCTCCCCCCCCTTCTACGTCTGTTACACTCTTGCCCTGGCAGCAGCTTCACTCGTTCGTGGTTCGTCTTCCCCTCCCTTCCCTCCCCTCCCCTCCCCTTCCTTCCCGCAAAGCCCAGCCCGTCCCCCCGCAGCTTACCAAAGTCCCTCAGCTGGCTGTTCTTGTTGACGTCGTTGATTCGGTCCCTGGTCGCGGCGGCCTTGGAGTCCAACACGTCCAGCTCACGGTTCTGAGAGGCGAGCTCGTCGTGCATTACCTGAGGGGATGAAGAGGAGGTGGGGGGGGGTGGAGGTGGGGGGGAGATGGAGGTTGGGGGGGGAGATGCAGGTGGTGGGGGAGAGATGGTGGGTGTGGGGGTTTGGAGGTGCAGGTGGGGGGACATGGAGGTGGGTGGGGAGGGAAACAAACACACCCTCCCTCGCCCCCCCCTCCCCCTCCCCCGACACCTACCTTGGCCCCCTCCAGCAGCTGGTTCAAACCCGCGTGTATTTGATCAATCATGTCATTTTGTCTCCGGGTCTCCTCATGAAGCCGCATCTCAGTGGCACCTGGGCAGTTGGTTTGATTAGTTGGTTGGTTGGTTAGTTGGTTTGGTGGGAGGAGAGAGATTCAGATGATATAAGATGACGCAAGCAGCAGCAAATATTCCCCTGCCGACGTCCGAAGCACCAACAACTGCTGGAGTCCTTTGGTGCCATGAAAGGGACGATAGTGGAGCAAGGCAGGTATAACGATGTCTGCCTGTTTGTCTGTCCGTCTGTCTGTCTGTCCGTCTGTTTGCCTTCCCGGTAATATTGGGCCCGGGAGAAAGTCGCAAGCATGGCGGCAAGGCAGGAGGACGACGCTGGCGGCGGTTGAGCCTTGCAATCTGCGTTTTACACATCCGTACACTGCCGTGCAATTTGCTACACCCCACCGCCGTACACTACTCACGATATTCCGACGGAAGCCGAATGTCCGGGTCGCCGCCGCGGCGGCCTCCGTCGCCGCCGCCGTTGGCCTCCCCGCCCCGGTCGCCACCCGATGTGCCCGCTCGGCCGCCAGCGGCGGCGGTTTTCGCAACCCCGGCGGACCCGCCGCCGCCTTTGCTGTATCCCGTTGCCGCTGATGCACCTGGTCGCGTCTCACCTCTTCCAATTTCCGTGTTCATTGAAAACCGTAGTCCCAGACAACAGAGACACAAGAACAGCGGTAACACGCCAAGAGTAAAGCAAACGGGAGGCGGGTATCGGAATTAACATGAAACAGGCGCCATGGAAATTTGAGATGCCGTACAGATAAGCCGTACACGTGGGTTCTTCTAAGTCACAAGTCAGAGGTGAGGGCGTGGGAGGGGTGGGTGGGAAGCAGAGCCCCCAGGTTCCGCGGCTGGCAGCTGGCAAGAAGGGTGAGGTGGTCTTTACGCAGGGAGCTCACTGCAGTACGGAAGGGGCATCCCCCCTGGATGGAAAGTTAGTGCGTGTCGAATATGCGTGACAGTCGTACAAGACATGTAAACGTATGTACGGAGACACTGCAAAGTAAGCTGTCCCTGAACGGGTGGGTTAGGGGGGCATGCTTCGTTAAAGAATGGGCGGGGAAGGGGAGGGAAAAGGGGGACGGTAAAACACACAACACAGATGCATGCACATGTACATTAAAGGACCGAGACAGGAAGGCTGCGGGAAAACACATTCCCCACCTCCTCTGCTCCCGCTCTACCTTCCATCTTACCACTCATCGATTCGGCCCCCGTCGATCTTCTCGTGGCTTCAGCCGCTCCATTCTTGCATCAGTCCTCATTCCCCCCTCCCCCCCCAAGAAAACACATTACCCCTCCCTTCCCCCTTCCCCCCCAAGAAAACACATTCCCCCTCCCTTCCCCCTTCCCCCCTTCTTCCGCACGCACCTGTCCACCCTGCTCTTCCACTCCTTCTTCCGCTGCTCCTCCGGGTCCGCCCCCGTGCACGAGTCACACACCCACAGACAGCAGCACCGCCGCATGTAGCTCAGCAGCTTCTCGGCGTACGTCAGCTCCTCATTTATCTGAAGAGGAGGAGCAGCAGCCGCAGCAGCAGCAGCAGTAGGAGCAGTAGGAGCAGTAGCAGCAGTAGGAGCAGTAGGAGCAGGTGGATTAAGAGGAGAACGAAGAGGATGAGGAGAAAAGAGGTGGGGAAGGCATCAAAATACCCCGAGTGGCAAGGTGGATGGAGACCAGAAGCGCCGAAAGGACAAATACACCACGAACACTATATCTTATTAGACGGACAAATAGATAGACGGGCAGACAGACGGACAGACAGACAGCGCTGCACCACTACTCCACTCCACTCTACTCAACCACCCCAGTCCCACTGAACCCCAAGTCGCCCCACATGATCCATTCTATTTCTGATGTTGCTCATGGTCTTGTCCTGATCTTCCAGCTGCTTCAGTGTCTCGGACTGAATCTGCTTGGACTCTTCAATTGCCTGCAATGGTTTTGGTGATGGTGGTGGTGGGGCGGGGAGGGGGGGTGAGGAAACGTGCGAGGGGAGACATCATGAGGAGGTACGGAACGCGCACATTTAGTGACCACGACATGGCCCGGCAACGTTACCAGCAGACACACACACACACACACAGTTCAGCAAAAGGAGGCCCAGGCTGGTCGCGCTATGTGCGTGCATTAGAATGGTCGGGAAGTTAAGAGATCGTAACGGTGGACTGGCTGGCAACACAGCCCTGCGGCGGTTTTCACTTGCGAAACGCTAAAACATGGTTACCATGGACAGATGCAGTCATGGTGTCAGCTAGCAGTCGTTATGAATAGCGCGGCGCCGGGGATCGTGTTTGTGGGCAGCGTTAAGCGTTAAAGCGCGACCACCACTGTAATCAGCAGCAGCAGCACCACCACCACCACCACCACCACCAACAACAACACGATCATCATGGGATCAACATCACTGCGATTTTGTTTTGCCACACACCCATCAGCACGTACCTAGGAACGCAATAAGTTAATAATCAGTATACGATCCCTAGGAGTCCTACCCCACGGTTGTTATCGTCTCACGCTGCTGCCTAATGCTCCAACCTCTTGCAGGAAAGCAGCCCAGGTACCGTCGGGGTGGATAGCACTAGATAGCACTGTCAGTCTGCCAAAACGGCGTTCCTCTCCTCTCCTCTCCTCTCCTCTCCTCCCCTCCCACAACAAATCGCGACCCAGGAGTCATATTTACGATATCTACTTGTTGCGGCCCCCCGTGCTTTTTTTGCTTTTCCCAGCCATTTTCCCCCATCCCCCATGTGCACGCGACCCCTGAATGCTGTCAAGCCGGCCACCACACAGTACACCCGATCCAAAAAATAATAGCAACATAACTAAGTTAAGTGTTGTAGCTTCTCCCTAGCGACTTACTACTACGATGCGTATTCCCTGTCGTCCCCTCAATCCCCATGCCGCTTCCTCCCTCTCTCCCCCCCGCCGTCCTCCCGGCCAGCCAATCAGCCCTTGGCAAGCTTGGTTTAGACTTGTGCACATACGTTTGCTTTCGCTCTTACCCTTAAAGCCCTCTGCGTTGCTGCCGTCGTGTCCTTGTGTGTTCTCACGGCTGTGTCCACGAGCTGTCCCACAGTCTGGTCCGCGAGGGGGATCTGCGTCGTGTCGATGTGAATCTCATCTTTGCCGGCGAACAGCTCATTGCGGGCACTTTGCTCCTCTTGCCGCTGCTGCACGATAGTCGTTGCTGAAGGGCTGCCCTTTTTCCACATGGTCGGTCCCGAGGGCGACAAAGCTGGGAGGGTACCGAGGCCACCCCCGAGTGCGATGAGACGACGGAGCTAATTCCGGTCCAGGTTATGAAGATGAATCCGTCCCTGCTACGTCCCTAAATATTTTTCATCAACAGAGGGAGGTAATGAAATTTATAAACGTTTGTCGTCTGTCGGCAGAACAACAGCCGTGGGATGGCTGTTGATGCAGGAAGAAACTAAATAGAACAAGGCAAAAGGACAGGACAGTTCACTCTAAAACTCCTCCTTGGGCACAATTAGAACTGTAGGTCAGGAGGTTTCCATGACCTTCGTAGGACTGGGCTGTAGGAATGAGACTTGTACTACAAACTAAACACTGTGTCGTTCAGGAGTAGCCCGCATGGTTAGTTCTCATGGCTTCTCCTTATCCGAGCAAAACGATAGTTATTTGCCCCTTTTGAGGACGGGACCTGTCTGGTTGAACTCTGGTTCACGCTAGGAAATGGCGCTGCGGGCTCTAGGCCGCCAGCTTCGTAGCTTGAACTTGATCCCTGTTGTCCAGCCAAGACGCTTTTTCGGTGCTAGCGCACATCACGATGACGAGCACGAGGAGGAGCACGGCCCAGCGCAGACGCCCACAGTCTTTGACAAGCTTGTGGAAATCACTGTCGTGGATATGAACGGTGTCCTCCATAAAGTCCGCGGCCTTGCGGGCCAGACCCTGGCGCAGGCGCTTATCGAGTATGGGTTCCCGGCGACCTACTTCTTCCCCAACATGGGCTTCTACACGCAGCACATTCCCGATGCGCACGTGTATGTCCCTAAGGATTATTGGGGCAAGATGCCGAACATTGACCCGGAGAGCGAGGAGGGAGGTGCTGTGAAGCGGATGTTCCGCGACATCGTGCAGGATTACCAGCGCGATACCTCGTACTTTGCTTCCTACATCACGCTAGGCCCGGAGCTGAACGGCATGACTGTGGGCATCGGCCCCATCAAGCCGTGGATCTTGCATTCTGACTGGGCTTTCGCCGGCGTGCACGACAGCAAAGCAAAGCAGTTTGACAAGCCGACCGTGGAGATTTGGGGCTAAGGACCGCGATACGGTACCTGCTCCCCTTTTAATCAACCGAAGGCATCATTAGTAAGGAGGAAAGGGGGGGTCCGCTCCGGATTGCTGCTTGGCGCGCGCTGGGGATATAACCCACGCAAGCGCGCGCGTGAAGAGGACGGTTACCTCAAAAAAGGACAGTTCCTGCCACGATGCCGGGTTGGCTTATTCTTTCTCTTAACACGGCCCATGCGCAGCTATTGCAAGGGGGAGAGCGCAGAACGAGGCACATTACCATGTGATGTTGCAGGTGGTGTAGTGAAGCACTAGGGTTTAACCTTGAGTGGGGACGCATGAGGAGCTTAATGTTTGTCTTGGAGGAGTTGCGTAGGTTCCTGACAGCTTAATAGAGGTTTTCTGTCTGTGGGAGAAACTCCAGGCTGCTTGGGGAGAGGGGTTTTCCCTTGTCTCGATACACGTCTTCTCCGTCGATGGATGGGCCTTGGTGACGTGACGATGTCATCCCTGGAGCAGTTGTGACACTAAAGGGAAATCGACTGAAGAGCGGAAGGGGAGTCGACTGAACAAGAAGTGGGACTTGGGGTTTAGTTCAGACCTTGGTTTGCGGGTTGGTGTTTGGGTCATTGGTGGATGTTTGGGCGCGATTCCGGGGCGCCGCCTCCTTTTGTGGGTGGGTAGGAAGAAGAGGGTGGACGGCATGTGTGTGTGTCTGCAAAACGTATTTTTCCTTTTATGTAAATGTGGTTGTTGCGGAGGTTGCTGAAGAGCACTGGGACATGCAAGCTTGAGTCCTATACCTCAAATTCAACTTCAGCTCGGAAGCAAAACAGCTGCTTGGGGAGTGCCGTAGCATTACTGCACTTGCTGCATTCAAGGCAACGCAACACGCCCCTTCAGGTCACACATACATACATACATATAACCCGATTAGATCTAACATGGCACGTCCATGTGTCATCAACTCGTCGTCATGAACATGATTAAACTTACTTGCAAAACGGCAATGCTAACCAACTCCGCATAGTGCGTACGGCATGGTATTGCCAGCTTTTTTTCTCGTTCTGACGGGATTCTGTACGGCTGTACGGCATTCAATAACCGCAAGCCCCATGCGTACCTCAACAAATGGACCTCAGACACGGCCAAATGGCAAAAGAGGAGCAAACGGGAGGCATCCTTTGCCCCCAAATCTGGTAGACTCTAGAAAACATAGCCACACAAAAAATACTCCGATATGTCACGTTTCGTTCGTAACATGCCGTGCTATTGTAGCCTCACATATGTTGGTTTGAGCTTTTCCCGCAGCCCCTTCGCCGCTCACCCCTTCTTGGGTCCCATCCTTGGACCAGCACCCCAGGTAGCGCTACGGCAGCTGATGCGTTTAACGCTGCTGATGCTAATGCTAATCCTAATGCTCAAGTGCCTATATCGCCCGCCCCGGCTAGCCGTCGCAGCCGTCACCACCACCGTTGCTGCCGCAGCGGCGGCGGTGGCGACGACGTGTACGGCCGCCTCGTCGCAATTGCGCCGGCAACGCCACCTTGCCGTGCAGCTCCGCCAGCAGTGACTCCGAAACCGCTTGGTTGGCTGCGGCACTCAGTCGCATTCGCAGCGCAGCTGGTTGGGCAGAGAGGACGTCCAACAGGGCACGTGCGCCCGCATCGCTCATTCCCACGTCGTCGAGTATCAACTCGTCCAAACTTGGCGCAAACCTGAGCGCCTCAGCAAGGTAAAGAATGCCGGCGTCGCCGATGCTGGGATTACCTGTGAACATGTACGGCAAAGTACGGCATGGTTTTGTAGCATATTCTGCGGCATACTTGCGGCGGAGCGGCACTGGGATATGTCTACGTGGGTAGCAGACCGAGGAGTAGCATTTGTGCAGCAGCAGTACGACAACAAGTGACGGGTGTTTGTCCAGGCCATCGTAAGGAGGTTTTGTATTGGGCTCTTGGAAAATCTGGGCCATTCGCTCCATGTTTGAGTCCGGGCAGCAACTACAAATAATAAATATAATATAGCATGTACAGAGGACGCCAAGAAAAGAGAGTGGACCAACGTCATTAAAGTGCACGACACAACTACAACTCGGATTCATTGTACGATAGGCCTACCTGAAAGATCCAGTATTGAGATGTCTGGACTGTGTGTAAGCATCTCAGCGATGGCACGCACATGGTGGGGACCCAGGTTCAAATCGCGAAAGTCCCCGTCGAAAGGGCTCAAGAGCGGGAAGCGTTCAACGTACTCCGGGAAGCACCGCACTAGTGCAGCCCGGGTGGCCTGCACATTTGTCGTTCCGCATATCGGTACAGTGCTCAGTGAGATACCGCACAATAAAATATTGGAGCGGAAACGCAACAAAGTCGCAAAAGGCAACTCATGATAAGTCGTTCGGCTAAAACGTTCATGAAAGCAAATCCAGATGCCCACACATATTTCCACTTTACACAAAAGCTCATATTCCAAAATTTTCAGATTTTAAATTTGAAAATTCTGGCTATTGCTGTCAGAGATGTTCGGTTCCAACAAGTCGAAAACCAGTCAGCACAGGTCAGCACCGCTACTCATCCAGAATGTGCCCTCACACTGTCAAGTTCATCAGCCCACTGCTGCTGCGACATGCCGCGTAGAAACCATTCCAAACAGGCGCCAGAGGCCAAAACAGGGGCAGCACAACCGCCTCCGTCGCAGCGGCGACGGCTGCTGCCGCCGCTGCCACTGCCGCCGCTGGCACGCGGGACCTGACCCTCGAGCAATGACAACGGCGGCAATGCCGTACGGCTGTCGCCCCCGCCACCGCTGCCGCCCCCGGCGCCTCCAGCACTGCGCCGCCAGCACTCCTCCACCACTTGCTCGCCGACATCGGCCCATGAGAAAACGCACACATGCAGATTCACTGCCGTACAGACAGGCTCTAGGCGCGAGCACGCGTCGCCGTCACCGACAAACGCGATGCTCAACTCCCGAGATTGCCTGTACGAATGTACGAAAGTGTACGGGTGGAAAATGGAGAAGATCCGCTGGGAGATGACGGAAGAGGCTTGAGATAAGAGAGGGAACTGTCCTGGGACGACACAACGGACACAGGGGGTGGAACACACCACACACCATAAAATTGCGCTGTTCCGTTCGTACACATACTTACGGTGCCGGCCAGTACGACGTGCAGCAGGATGGGGGCTGCGAGCCCTGTACGGCACGCCATCCTCCTCCCGTGGTGCCTCGGCCGCCACCGTACTCCTTAGCTGCCTTCGACACCGCTGCTGCTGCTGCCAGCTTCTTCGGCGCCCGATCCAGGATTCCGAGCCCACATGGCCCCCGCGTGAGCACCCCCCACTTGTCCGCCACCGACGCGTCCTCCGACCGCAAAACACACAGCATCCCTTTCCCATCCTCCCCCTCTTCCCCCTCCTGCGCGGCGCGCCACGCCGCCGGGCATTCCCGCCCGCTGTACACCAAGTCCCGTACTACTAACCATACTCGACACCGCCGGCCCCGTCCTTCTCTGCTGCCTCCGCTTCCTCCTCCCCCTCCCCCTCCTCCTCCTACCGCTCCGCCGCCGCCAAAACGCCAGCCCACGAACTGTTCTAGAAGCTCCGTATCCAAGGAAGCCACGAAGGCTAGCACCACCACGTTCTGTAGCGCACTGAGGAGCTCACCTTTAGATAGAAAGAAGGCGGAGTAGACAGAGAAGCTAAGCAGCAGCAGCGGCTGTAGCTGGTCGGCGGTGAGGAACGCCAGGCTGAGGGCCATCCGCAGTCGTAGTCGGGTGGGCCGCACCTTAGCGGTGAAGTACCACAAGTCGGGCAGCTCGCCGAAGGGCTGAAGGGCGCTTTCCAAAATTCGCGGGACGGCTTGCAGGAAGAGTACGATGAGGAGGAGGGCTAGCCTGTGAGGCGAAGAGCGCGATGGTGGATGCGGTGGTGGATGGTCGCACCGCTTAGCTTAAAAAGTGTACCGGTATCACATCTGTAGGATAGATCATTCTGTTTAAAGTCAGGTTTAATCCATGGTAAAGTATGGTAAGTGGCTTACTTTTAATGTAATGACCGTCAACCCGCTCAATTTCTGTTTCGTAGCTTCTGTTGCACAACAACGGGAAGCTTTCATTTGCGACTTCCGTTGCCATCGCTATCATCGCCATCGCCGGCGCGTCGTCCAACCCCACACTCCACAGCCCCCAACGCCACCTATGTCAGTGGATAGCCCGGATCATTGCTGCCCAGATCCCTGTTGCCGTACCCTCGATCCCTGTTGCCGTACTATCGATCCATGTTGCCATACCCTCGATCCATGTTGCCCAACCTATTGCTTCCACCGCTACATATTTGGCCGGTTCTTGGCACTCACTCGATCTTTGGACTATCGTACAGTACTGCCTCGTCCCAACTGGCCCGGATCCAGAGTACGAAAAGCACAACAAACGCCCAAACCGCCGTGGAGGTGAGGGCTGCCACGAGGGCAGTTGGGGTATCGGCGACGGTGAGAAAGAAGAGGGAGGTGGTGTCGGAACAGCTGATGGGCAGGTGGCAGGAGACACAGCCATTGCCGTCGCCGTTGCCACTGCGGCCACTACTGCTGGTTTCGGAGTCCATCCACTGCCGATACCCAGCCGCATGGGCCGCGCTGTGTGACCCTGCCGGGCGTTAAAGGGAGGACCTGGGTAACTGAGGGCTGCTCCCTAAAACCCTAAACCCCCTAAGAAACATTGAGACCAGAGCAGGAACCGACCAGACCAAAACAGCTCAGGTTGGCCTGGGCCCCAGTCGATGGGGCTGGCGGAAGGGTTGCCACCGGATGGTGGGACATGGGAGGGTAGCAGCAGTAGCAGCAACAGCAGCAGGGGCAGCAGCCGCGGCAGCAGCAGCACGGCTGTTGTGGCGGTTACGTGGTGCTAAATAATGGAATGTGGAATGTGGAATGCGCATGCCAAGGACGCGTATTGGCATCATGAGCACCACGAAGCGCATTCAAACCAGACCTGGAGGGGACCATGGAGACAGCTTCTCCTGGGGGAACTCTCAGCATCAGAAACACGCCAAGTGGAGGTCGTGTTGTACTGGGAAGGGGAGCAAGGCCTAACGTGTGGCGGGATGGCAGCCAAAGTTCCTTCTGGTGACGAACGTAGAGGCGAATGTCTTTTTGTTTTGTGAAGTTGGGCAGGCAGCTGGGTGAGAGACTGAGTGCGAGGTGGGTAAGCGGTATGCCTCGTGTCATGCGGTGGCCTCGTGTCTTGAGTCTCACCGGCTGTAGGGTCGTTGGGAGCTTGATCCAGATCAGAAGCTGGGAAATAGCTGATTGGAGGATGTGAGAGGCGGGGAGCGGTGGACGTGCCGGCTAGCTTTGCCGTGGCTGCAGTCTCAGCAGTCTGTTGCTCTGCCTCCAAATTTTCAAGTCGGGAGCCTCCACTCGGAAGCGAGGTTGTGGTTAAGCCCTCGTGATAATGTGTGCTCGAGCTCGCTAATAATGGTTTGTCATCGTGGTTAAGAAGGGGCCGTTGAAGCTCTGCCGAGGCGATAGACGAAAGCCGTGCGGGTGCTCCGCTGGTGGTACCCTCTGCGAGATGTTTCATTTATTTGACCAGAACCGCGCTGCGTAAAAAGAGAAAAAGAAAGATTTATGCTGTAGCTGTGCAATAGGTCTACTATGCCAAGAACTTTTGAAATTTGCGCGAAAGAGCGTCAGAGTCGTGGGTCTAACTATAGTTATAGCGCGGCTCGTAGACTTTTCCAGCATAGCTACTTCTGACGTCTACGCTGTACTAGTTTCGTAATTTATGCGCGGAACGCGAGTCCGAGACCTCGACGCACCGTTGTACCTAAGTGGAAACCGTGACTGTTAGTACTGGGTTTTGTCCAACGAATTTGCAACCAACAAGGTATGTGTACTGATGAAGCGTTACTATATAATCATTTGCGAGAGTCGATGTCTACTGAAGCAGACGGATATTAAGGATATACAGCTGATACCTGTAGAAATACCAGAGCTGTAGGGTGTGAAGTATCCTGTCATTTCCCTAGGCTGCTTCGCTGACATCTTAAGTTTTGCCTTAAGTTTAGTGTGAAATATCCACAACGCAATTCCCGGCGACTGCTGCAGTAAAATGACATCAACATGGCAAGAAACAGACCCGTCATTAAGATATCTGTTGGCACTTCACGCTTTACATACCATGCCACGCCAATGTCAGCAGGAAACCTTTGTACGGAGCCTTCAGAACAAATGCCTAGGAACATTTGCCCGGAAGAACCAACAGCGTAAACAGGTTACGTGATAGCATCATTCTAATATACATAGCGGCAAAAAATTGGGTGAACTTGGGTCAAGCGAACTGCTGGTAAACGGCAGTGAGTTGCTCGACAACCAGGCTTATACCATCTACTCTTCATTATGTAACCGACACGAGAACGTGTGACTACAAATGTCTTAATCATGCTCCAGCTGAACACCAGCTACAAAAGAAGGATACAGTGGAACAGGCATGAACAGGAAACACTGCGATCTGACGAAAAACGGGGCAAGCCACGCGCTGCGGACGCAAGCGTAATCTCGCAGGCCCGCATGACAGGCCGACCCTGACATTGGCACACCACAACATGAACCACCTCTTAACGCCTCTTGTTCCAATTTTAACACCCTGCCGCGTAATGGCACAGGATGTGAATTACTCGCCGCTGTTCGGGCGGCTGTAGAACAGAGGTAAAAAGATTGGGTTTTCCGAAGCCATAAGGCAACGTGCATTCGGACACATGACAACCAAACTCAACCCCCCATCATCCTTTTCGTGCGAGAAGGGAGATGCGGAAAGGTAGGCGAGTGCCAACAGAAACAAAAGACCGTACCGGCATATTCCTGATCGAACTTATTCCCTTTACTGACCGACCGACCGGATTACGCAAAGTCCACCTGAGCGATCCGGCTGCGCGCAGATGTGCTGCACGCAAACGACAATCAGAACGCTAGCAGGGTCCACGTAAGCAGGCTAGGGGGGATCTCAACATGCCCAAGCACCCATAGCTCAGCCTGGAAAGCCCAGCACACAGAAATAGGGCCACTGGATACCATGTATATGTGCCGCCCCTTGAGCAACTCCTACTTGCTCTCCGTCCGCCCTCATCTGCTGAGCCACCTCTGGTGGATTCACAAACAGCAATAGGTGAAGCCATGCTAAATTAATCTAAAGGTACAATTGAGCTGTTTGTAAACCAGCCACAGAGTGAGCGCCGCTGTGCACGCGCTAATGCTACCGCCACGATAAGGGGGTGTTCCACCTGAACAATGGGCCCGATTGATGCTGCCCGTCTAAACGCAATCGCAAACGACCCAGACGTGCCACCGACCATATGTAACTTGTGACATGCGAACTTTTACTTTCCACATGCTGCAAAACATCAAGCTCGATATGCAGAAAAGACACACACACATCGTGGTAAAGCCTGCACTAACAATACGTACACGAAAAGAGGAAAGAGACAGGGATAGGAAAAAACCTGTGTTCATGAACAACTACAAAGAGCGATCAGGCGCGCGAGAGCTCCAGCGATATGCTTACGTGCCTGTACGGCAGAAGCGCTACTCGACTGACATACCCAGCCAGGCTGATATACCCATCCGGACGCCCCGCCTGTCCCGTCCATCCAGAGGGTTTCAGGCTGCAACCCAACAAGGGCTGAAACATTTGCGAACACGCAAAGATACTGTCGCACGTGTCCACAAACGACGCGGACCGCAGAGCCGCTAGGCGCAGTGCACGAGGGGCATTAGTAGCTGCACGACTTCATGCAAAGGCATATGCGCTGCAGGAGCCGATGCAGAGAGAGCGGGGATGCCGCAGCGCTTACCAACCGCTTAAAAGCGTGGGCAGGACAGTGCCATGCTCGAGAGGTCAGCTGCGGACTGCCGCCAGCGGCCTGAATCCAGCGCATCCCGGATCTGAGCGTGCACCACCTCCATGAACTGCCTCCATTGCTCCTCCGTCATGCCGCTGAAGCAGGCGCTCATACGCTCCGGGCTGAAGGCAGCCACCGGCGGCGGGTAAACTTGCGGCGCCATGCGGATGTGCTTTTGGCAAGTAAGCGCACCGCCCTTGCCGGCGGTAGCGCGCTTCGCCGCCTGCTGGTTCTTTAATTTGCGCCAAAGAAAGCCGTCGGTAACGTGGACGGAGCTGGCCATGGGCAAAGGGCGCTCCATACCAGCCGAACGAGTGTCCACACCGCCGTTGCCGATAGCCATAGCGCCGCTGCCGGCCACATGTGCAGCCTCCACCACTGGGAAGCCATTGAGGGCGCCTGAAGATTCAATGGAACCTCCGGTCTGGATGCTCATACGCTCGTCTGAAGTGGAAAGGCTGGAGCAAGGCGAGTAATCAAGAGTCGACTCGGGAGCGACAAGACGACGGGCGCCCCCGCCCTCAGCCGCCGCCGCCGCACGACGCTTGTTCATGCGGGGCACACCTGCACGGCGAGCCAACCACAGGCGGTTAAGACGGTTAATCGCTTGTGATTCCGACTAGCAATACAGGCTCACGCGCAGAGATAAGCATTACCGCATGATAGGCCACCTTTCATGCCCACCCCACCCACGCAAAGCGAAGTTGCAGCACCTAGGCGACGCGCTTGCCAAAATTTACACAACTGAAGAAACCTACCTCCAGCAGAATCGACATCGAGCTCGAAGAGCATGTCTTCACCCTCCTCCTTTATGCTAGTAATGGTTGTACCCCGAATTGGCAAGGTGAGTAAAACTTCATCCAGGGTTCCGTTCATGAGCTCCTCCAGCTGCAGCTCCCCAGCTGCAACATCTGAAAGGCCCTCACAGCTCTCGATTTCCTCCTCACAGCACTGATTCAGTTCTTGCGTATACTGCAACCATGATAACAGCGAAATGCAGACGCTGTCAAGCATGGTAAGCATGGCAAAAACCCGTGAAGCTTAGTAAAACAAAACCCGCCAGCGTCGTTTTTCAGAACCGGCAATATTTTCACTCCCAACATGTAAATATTACCCCACCTCAATCAGGAGCACTTATTGTGCAGATCCAAAAAGCCCCAATCCACTGCGTTTCATACGCGTACCTCGACACACTGCCCTGCGTAGGCGCACATGCGCTCAAGCTCACTGGGCTCCTCGTCAGAATCGACGAAGGGGCGCGTCATTACGCTCGCAATGTCAAACAGTGTCAGGCCTTCCGCGGCACAGGTCTTCAGCAGCGTTGTGCAGACCTCCAGCACCCGCAAGCACTCCGGGCGGAGCATGGGCAACTCCTGCTTCAGAATGCTTTTATCGCGCTGCGTTCAAAATTGAAGCAAGCAATGGGAAGTTTTAACTCTTAGCCCACAACTATTTATCTTGGATGGCAAGGCCAAGAATCTTAATAAGGAGTACATGTTCCTGGCATGCTGGAGATATGAGCTGGCATTCTGACTAGGCATGCCAGAAGTCATATTTCTTCACCAATGCATGACGTACTTCTTTTCAGGTATTTCAGGATCAACGTTGGCGCTGGACACGCAACGCAAAGGAGGCTCACCTCCACATCCAAATCCCTTATGTACTGGACCTCCTCCTCGCTGAACGGCAGCATGGTTTGTGGCCAGTGCAGCCATTCGAAGTACGGCGCCTCCAGCGTCTCCGGCAGGCAGAATCCGTGGTCAATCGGAATGAGCTCGTACGGTGCATCCGACGCCATACTCCGCCTCAGGTCAGCAGTCGAGGCCGACGCCGCTGTGCGGGGCGTGCGTACGAGCATATTGCCAGCGTGGCGGTCGGTGTTGAACAATCGCAGGTCAAGAATGCCGATGCGGTGCACATCGCGGATGCTGAAGCGGCTGGGTCCCATCTCGCTCGTATCACATTCATGGGTCACGAATTCTTGCAGCGAGCCCAGCTTCATCGGAAGGGGATTCTCCTGCGCCGGAGTGGCAGGTGTAGAGCTCGACCTGGTGTCATCAACAGCTCCGCCAGCACCATCCATACAGACTTGGCTGTTAGAGCGGCTCAAGCCGGGGGCCCCACCAATATTAACCGGGGGTGCGGGCGAAAACCCGTCCGCCTGGGACGCCTGGTAGCAAAACACGGGGTGCCGTGCACGGACGAGAACGCTCGTAGGCACACGTGCCCAGCCGTCATGGTCCAGAAGGTACGCGGCAACCTCGCGGAGAGCAGCTTCTCCAACGCGAACTGTGGGTTTCCAGCCAGGGTCGCCTAGCTGGCGGCCAACGTAGCCCTTGGGGTTGTTGGGCGCCAGCGGTTCTTCGTCACATGGTTTAAGAATGGCCGCCTTCTTGCCGGCCTCGTTGGCAAAGAAGTAGGTCCCGCCCATCCCGTCGGCCGCCTTCTCCGGCTCTTGGCACGCCCGAAGGCCGCGGATGACCGACTTGACCAGTCGTCGGACAGCAGGAGAAGTATGCGCAGTGCAGCAAATCTCGATCTTGCACTCGCGGTTGAGAATGCTGTCCAAGTCCTCCGACTGCTCAGATGGGAAAAAAAACGACACTGCCGTTAACCATCTACATGTTAGGAGGTCAAACTGCACGAGCTTCCTGTAGTCTTGCAGGCAAGTGTGATGAGCATATATGTTGAGCTTACCGTGGTCTTCGGGCCGAGCACGCCACTGCAGCCGCTTGTCTCGCTAAACTCCAGCAACCCTTTCCAGCCGACGGGGGCCGGACTTTCTGGCACGCCGGTAGAAAGCGCGCTGACGAGCCCCGCAGCGACGCCATAGGGCTTGTGCGACGGCGCACTTGACGCGAAGCTGCTGCTTGGGGGCGCAAGCGAGGGCCCCAGGGGGCGATGCAGCAGCAAACCCGACTGAACGCCCGTACTCCTCTCTCCAGGCTGGGAAGGGACAGACGACAGTTGGGGTAGCTGCTGCGACGGCGTCACGAATGAGCTCGCGTTGCTGATCGCAGGCGCAGCCACAGTAGCTGGCGTTGACGGCGGCGTGTGCTGCAAAGGCAGCTCAAAACCGCCCTGAACGCGGAAGCCAACCGTGGTCGGGAAAGCCCGTGGATGCTCGATGGCGACGTTCGACTGCGTCAGGAAAAAAGATGCATAAGAATGAGGCACAGGGCGAGCATAAGCAGAGCACGGATCAGGCTACCTGAACTTAGTTGAAAGCGGCGTAAGGTACAACCTTATAAAAAGCAACCTTCATATTTTTGACATGCTTTAGGGAGTTAAGGAATTTCAAAGAACTCTGGTAGTACTAGGAAGGAACTAGGGTGTTTGGCCTCACCATTCCTGCTGGTATATCGAAAAGCCGGCTGACGAAGAGCAAGCGGCAAGCCCAGACCTGAGGAGGCAAGGAAAAAGCTGCCATGTTGTCACGCACAACCCTTCATAAAACTGTTGGCGTCCCATGCGCAACCCAGCTTGCATACAGATGCGGACCACCACTACCACATTACTTCAACAATAAGCTTTAAAGTAGCCCTTTTCCCTGAGAAGTCATCTGCCTTGGCGGGGCATAACCTGGACATCCTCAGCGAGAAACGCATCGGGCACAGTGCCCTTAACACCCGCTTCGCACAGCACAAAACTAACATCTCATATGTTCTCCAAATATACATAGGCAGCAAGCCCTAACGAGAGCATCCGTAAATAAAGCGGAGGCCTACGTGTGTGCCAGCAGGGGGCAGCTCCGCTTTGGGCTTGCAACTGCTCACCACGTGTAGCTGCGACGCGAGGCGTCCTCTTCAGAAGAACTGGAGATGCTCGATGTCATGCAGTCATCCAAGTAGCCGGTTCCAGAGAAGAAGTTGGGGACAAGGACGTTGCCAGGGGAACGTGAGCTGTGACAAGGCGTTAACCCCAAGCGGGGGGAAGCTGAGTAAACGATATATAACTTTTAGAGACGCATTTTACTTGGGTAATATGAAGACCTTAGTGATCCGCAATACTTATTAGAGATAGGGCTGGCCAGGTGTACGATCGTCCTGCACAGGGGAGCTTTTTGCATGGCATGGAGCATCACCAAATCCGCGTCATCCTAAGCTACGGCTGTTCTAGGTAAGCACGTGTCCTGTAACTCCGCCTTTCCACCCATTGCATTTTTCCTGAAAGGCCCGGCTTATGGAAGCGTCTCGATATCCCGTGCAATTGCTTCCTAAACTTAAACGCAGGAACGCGATAGCGTGTAATTAAACCTAATAAACTTTTTCTTATGCAGCAGCCACGCCTCATAGGGCAAAAGCTGCTCTGGCACCTGCCTGACGTGACCCGCCGGACACGTAGCAAAAGTCCTTGCCATGTCACCGGAATCATGAAGCATGGACAATGGAAATTCATCGCGTCACGCAAGGCTGAGCTCACTGACTTAAGTACCTTTGCTCCCATTATGTGCGGAGCCTTCCCTCCATCCGCATGTTACGCCGTTATCATTTACGAGGCAAGCGTGTACAGCTAGCCCGAGTAATCCTGTTCCATGCCTATGCGTATGTCTGATTTGGGTCGTAGTTAGGAAGCACCGACGAACCGACTCTAGCCGCATAACCGCATAGTCAACACCAGCCACGTACCGCGCTGCTCCCAGCTGGATGCAAATGCATCCTGCGCTATCTTTGCTAACAGGGATTCGATACGATGTAACCTTCTATCCCCACATCGGCTCCCCAGTCCTAAGCCCCAGCACGCAACTGGGCTCGTAGAGCAGTGAGGAGTAGTAACCACCCCATAACAGCCCCACCGACAGCTTCCCTGAAAGAACGACCCTGAACAACTTCAGGAGCGACCGCTCCCTAAAATGCAACAAAGAACCCAGGTCGCCATAAATTTTCTCATCCTTGCACATCTAAAAACAATTGCCTATTCAAAATGGGTCCACGTACTACATCCATGCCTGGACGATTGCGCGCCCTTGGACGACGGACTTGAACACTAACACGGAGTCAAGGCAAAAGCGCTCGCCAACTTCTCTGGTCGCCCCTTACTAATACGTGGCAGGAACCCTACTGCGCCGTCATAACCCCCCACTCCGGCGATCGGTGATCAAGCGCCAGAACCTGCAACCAAAGGAGAGGTCAGGGGAAAAGAAAGCGTCCGGCTGATCCGACTCAAAACATGACAAAGGTAAATGGGAACGCGAGGGAGGGGAAGAGACTTCAAGGCGCAAGGACGCGGAACAACACAGGCACACGGAACAACGACCAGGGGCACATCCGCTACTAGAGCACGATCAGGCCATCTTTTCACTTGGAGGCTCGCAAACGCTGCCAAAGGGACCCCAAACCAAAAAAACACCTCGCTGGGCACTATATACAAGCAATATCACTTAACCGAAAACCTACCCTAACAACCCAGTCTACTAAAAATTCAACCTGTGGGTCAACCTACACCAAACGCTGCGCAATGAACTCAACTCGAAATTCACCGGTTTAAGCCATATGACATGGAAAACCCCTGAAATCTCAAACATGTACGGGAATACGAAAATGCCAACTGAAAAGGTTCTGGAAAGCACGTAACCTCTTCCCTAACCCACCCATTCCACGCACCTGCACCAGCCAATGCGCCACCAGATCGCTCTCCCCCCTGCGCCCGTGAGCGGTCACCATGACACGGGCCATCTCGCACCACAGCTCCACCGGACTAACAACGGATGATAACAGCTGGGAAAGCAACGCGGCGGACTGGGAGCAAGCCGGCAGAGACCGTGGGGTGGGGACCGATGGGGTGAGGTGGGCGCCCCGGATCCGGGTGGCAAGCGGACAGGTAGTAGACAGGGCACATGCGAGCAAAAGGGGAAGGAGGGAAAGGTGAGGAAAGCTGGAGAAGAGGCACAGCGGAGGGGCATGTAGGAGGAGCGCGGACGGAAGGCCGTCCAGTGGAGAAGATGGAAAGGACACGCGACGGCAGCGTACACGTGCGCACACAGCAATACACACAACTTATCTGGGAGGAAGTTAGAGGAAGATCTCTGCACCGCATCCGCATCGCCCCCCCACCTCATCGCAGCCGAGCCCAAGCCAACCCATCCCATGCCATACCGTCAAGTCGACGTATCTCCCCTCCGCCTCCGCTGCATCCATCACTCGACCGCGCCGATCCACGTCCACGAACAAAAACTTCGCCGCTACCATTGCCACTGGCGCCGTCGCCGTCGCCGCCACCGTCGCCGCCACCGTCGTCGTCGTCGTCGTTGTCAATATCTCAGCGGCATCAACCGCCGCCGCCGCTGCCCCATTGCTGACATTGGAAGTCGGAATCCGGTGCGGCGACCGGCTGGCAGTTATTACCGGTATTACCGATGCCGCAACGGGCTTTGCCGGCGCCGCCAACGCCGCCGCCACCACTAGCCAGGCATCGGGGTGAGGCGCCAGCGCTACGGTACGTCCAGCCTGTCTTGCAGCTACTTCCGGTGGCAGGCTGTGGAGCAAGGCGGGGCCTGCGGGGATGAGGAAAAAGGGGAGGCATGGACACGTGTATCACCGGGGGGAGGTTACGGGATGGCGCGAGTGCTAGTGGATGGATCATCCCGACGAAATGAGTGTTGAGCCCTGGGCTGCAAATGAGGGAACCCCAATGGCAAAGACGCTCTCTCCGAACGACACACGACAGGTGATCAGTTCGGGGTCCTTGACAAAGCGTGGCCATGAAATATGAATTCGTTCAGGAGGCATCAAAGATTAAAGGCGCCAGCGGCTAATTTTAACAAGATCCTGGGGTTTGTGAGGAGGACAGAAAGGGTTGAAGACCGGGGAGGAGGGGGATGGAAAGAGAGAAAGATTTTTATGGTTTATGGTTTAGGTGATGGGATGACCTAATGGCCAAACTGACCTCACAGTAATCACTCTTCGTGAAATCGCGCAGCAGATGTGAGTGGGGGCGGGGGGATACCGCCCAGCTGCCACCAGACACTCACCCGGGGACACCCCTGGAGTGCCGCCCGCCGCAGCCTTGACGGGCGCCGCGTGCACGCCCAACCGCCGCGCTACGCTGCAGTACAGCACAGCAAGGCTAAGGGGGATGCCTCGTCGCCGGCTAAGCACCTACATGCGCGCGAAACAATAACCGTGTCGACTCAACACCGTCAACACACCATTATGCACAACCCCACTACATAGCACATACACTCCAATCCTCGCAGCCTCTGCACACACCCTCACCTCTGAATCCCCCCAGGCGAGGCCGCGCTCTCAACGAAATGGTGATAGTGTAAAACATTACATTCACGTACAACACAAGGATGAGGGCCTATGGCTTAATGGATAAAGCGCCGGTCTACGGAACCGGAGATTCCAGGTTCGATCCTTGGTAGGCTCGCGCGACATCTAAAACACTGATATCCATGCCTTTCTATAATAACGAAAGTTGTTTTATAATCTATTGGTGCGGCATTTTCGAGATCGTGCCCAAGATAGCCCGCGTAACCCCCAGCCCTCAGGCCGCCAGGCTCATGTG